AATGTTCGACTCGGCAGCCTGAACGAAGCGGACGAGGGGGCTGCTGTTGGGACTAGGGGGTGCGTACTTGAAGCTCTTGTCCGGTGCTCTGGCGGAAGACAAGACGGCTCCGATCGGGTTCGTGGCCGTGGTCGACGGCGAAGACAGCGGCGACGAATCGGGAGACGTCGATGGCGTGCTGGAGGCGACGGGACGGGGGAGGCAACGTCGTTTGCATGGTCGGCGATGAGCTTGCGGTCGCACGGGCAGAGACACGAGCGCTGCAGAGACGGAGGAGGAGGCGAAGAGAGCCATCGGACACCGGCACGAACCCAGAGACACACGATCGGGGAGGTAGAGAAAGATATTTTTTTTTTCAATTATTGGGGCTGGTAACCGTTGAGTAATCAACGGTGGAGATCGCAGCAGGAGGCGCGCTGCGCTTTCACCAGCTGCAGTACAACTGCAGATATTTTTACACGCGCCTATCGAGATCAGTTGTAGCCCGTTTTCTTATCCGGTCGTTGAAAAATTTGACTGCTCCCCGTATAAACTTACTAAGGTAGATGACAATATATCTATCGAGTTATTTAAGTTTATACAAAACTTACTAATCACTTCTAAATATTGATAAATGAAACGTTACTAACCAGTAACCACATTAATCTGAGATTATTTTTCTTCTTTAATAAATTTAATACTTATTACTCCCTTATGGTAAAAGTTATTAAGCATCTTAAAAGTTAACTCAATGAATTCTGAAAGTAGTAATCATATATTTTACTTTTCTTTGTTAAAAGTTACTAACCATTTTGAAAATCAATTCTAAACTTTTCAAATTTGTTTAATGTAATCCTGAACCTTTTAGTGAAAATGCAATCAATTCCTCTTGCCCAAGTCTTGCCTGAAATTACCGACTTGGCAGTCTAGCGCCATGGACAATGACTCTAAATTGCATTATTTTGCTAATTTTTTCAGTTAGTAACTTCTATTTGAGATCACCGAGACTGACATATCAACATTCATTACATTAAGATGTGAATTAACTTTAATCTCTTGCTAACTTTTTATATTGGCAACATTTGTTTATACTTCCAAACTACCAAATATTGTAAAAATCTATCAACATTTATTTTTGTGGCTTATCGAGGTATTGAAGTTACAGACTTTTATTAAAATTACCAACTTTCGTTTGATTGATGTACCAAGCATGATAAAAAGTTAATAAGGGCATGTTTAGTAAGTGGCCCAACAGTGCCTGATTCTATTCTTTTGTTTCCGGGAACAAAAAAAGGACAGAAATCCGTTTGATAAATTTTTTGTTTTCGGGCACAAATTTGTTCCCAAAATCAGTTTTGAAACATAATTAAGAATAAAAAAAAATTGATTCTTTATTCTGGGAACAATAATAAAAAATGGAAAAGAATTTTTTTTTTCTTCTTCTTTCTTGGCATGTGGCCAGTGGCCGGCGAGGGCTGGAACCTCACGGCCTAGGAGAGGACCGCCCTCGCCAAATCTGGCAAGGGCGACGACGAGGGTCCAGCCCTCACCTAGGCCGCAAGGGTCTAGCCCCTCGCCCTCGCTTGTGGCCGGCGAGGCCCGCGACGCCCTCACCGCCGCCAGCGACTTGGCCATGCCAAGGAAGGAGAAGAGGAAAAAAAGAAAAGAAAAAAAAAGAAAGAAATATTAAAAAAATTCAAAATATTATAAAAATATTATTAATAAAAAGAAATTTTGTGCAGTTACTAAAAGCATTTCTGTTCTTTTTCTATTTCAAGAATAGAAATTTTGGACAGTTACCAAACACCTTCAAATGCTTAGAAATTATTTCCGTGAATGAAATAAAAAAAATCATTTATGAGCAAAAATTATTTCTAGGAACAGAATGGTTATTAAACGCACCCTAAAAGCGTGAATGCTAACCATTCTGTTCCAGAAATCAATTTATGGCCAGAAATAGATTTTTCTATTTTTATTCAATTGACGAGTTTCTTTGTCAAAACACGCGTTTATAATGACACAAAATTTCTTCCTCCCCAGCGGCTGGCGGGCGGTGGCTAGAGGTGGCTGGCGATGGCGGGAGGTGGCCGATGTTGGGTGGTGGTGGACGACAATGGGCGGCGGTAGAGGACGGTGGCGGGAGGGCGGCGGCAAATGGTGGGAGGTGGCCGGTGTCGCGCGATGGCAGAGGACTATAGACGACAACCAGCGGCGGAGAATGGTGGCAGGAGTGGGCCGGTGTCCACTCCAGGAATAGAAATTTTGAGCAGTTACCAAACGCCTTCAAATGCTTAGAAATTGTTTCTGTGAATAAAATAAAAAAAATCATTTCTGAGAAAAAATTATTTTCGGGAACAGAATGGTTACTAAACGCACCCGAAGTGACTAAATAAGGCGTTGGTAAACCACAAAATTACTATTGGTAGATTAATGAAGTAGTTGGTAGTCTTATGTTGATACTTTTCTGTACCTATATCAAGTAGAAAGTAACTAAAATTAGTTGATATCTAATTGGACGAATGTTGGTACATTAGTCAAATGTTAGTAAGGGAATTAAAGTAATTGGTATCTGTTTACACCAAAATCGGCATGGAAGTCAAGTCGATTTAATGTCAAAATCCGACGGACAATGGAGCTCAGTCATCTGCCGAAGTACGTTTGGATAAAATTCGGGAATGTAGTAAGCGTGAATGGCATCATGTCCCGAATTCTGTGATTGGAGAGAATCGGTAATTTTACCGAAAACATGAAAAGTTTACATTTCGGGAAATGCTGAAGCTATCGAAAATCGACAAGATCACAACCCAACCACGTGAATCGTGACAACAGGAAGTTATGAGCAAAAAGCGGAGATAGTGAGCACGAGCAAATCGTGGGAGATTATTTATCCAAATTGGAAGTCATTCCAGCGGTTGAGATCAAGTTTTGGTGGACAATGAAATTGGAAAACGTGGGTAGATAAGGCAGTTATTGAAAGCGCCAAGATTCAAAATTCGAAAACAAAGAAGTAACCGACAAGCAGTTACAGGATAGAAGGAGATATAAATACTCAGAAGAAAGAAGAGGAAAGGAATCAACAACAATGCAAAAACACTCAAGCTTATATGCACTTTAGTTTCCTCTGCACTTTTACCTCATGCGTTTACAGCTTCCTGTAGCTTTAGTTAACCTTCAAGTCCTTTACAGATTTCATAGGAGTATTGTAACGTAGTTAGAAACTTTGTTGATCTCAGATCCATTTTCAATCCACTCAATTTCTACCCGCTTCCTTATAACCCCGCACTACACTCTGTTTTTCGCTACGATTTTCCTAGAAATCAAGCTACAGAACCTACTTTAATAAAAACCGAAAATCGAAGTTTCGGTGAAGGATATTCCTCATTGTAAAGCGAGCGAACAGTATCCTAATGTGATGGACGCTAGTATACCAGTCAAATCAAAGTTGATAATTTCGTATAAAAGGTAGTAATTCCGAGGCCTTGATAAGCTCTAGAAATAAACGTTTGCATATTATTAAAATAGTTGACAATTTATTATGTACAAATGAAGCTCAATACTCGTCAAAACTTGTTAGTAAGTTACTAATGTGTGACTGAATAAGCAAGTAGACACTTTTTGTTGCGAACGATATTTGACATATACCAATCATATCAGAGCTTTAGGGTGCGCATGGAATGCATTCCGGAATAAAAATTCTGTTCCGGAATGCATTCTAGAACAGAATGACGTTTGTTAAAAAAATTTCGGAATGCATTTCAGAGCGATTTTTGCATTCTGGAATAAAAATGCGTTTGTTAAAAATACTTATTCCAGAATGCATTCTTGATTCCAGAATGCATTTTTGATTCCGGAATGAGTTTTTGGCAAGAAAAAGAGAAGCTACTTTTTGTAGCTTCTTGATTTCGAAATGCATTCTCCCTATTTTCTCATAATTTTTTTTTTTAGAAAATGGATAAAAATTGAAAAATTCTAGAAAAATTCATAAAAATTTCCAGAAAATAAAAAAAAGTCAGATTTCGGGAAAATATGAAATTTGGTGAATTTTTTTTAAAAAATAAAAAAAAATCAAAAATTTGAAAACTTCACAGAATAGCTTAAAACACATGTGGCCACCCACTTTTAGTGAAATTTAAATATTTTGAGGTGCCCAAAAAAAAGAAAAATAATAAAAAAATAAAAATTTTCAAAACTTTACAAAATGGCTTAAAATACCTATGACCCCCACTTTGAGTGAAATTTAAATTTTTTGAGGTGCCCAAAAAAATAAAAATAATAAAAAAATTCAAAACTTCACAGAATGGCTTAGAATATCTGTAGCCACCCACTTTGAGTAAAATTTAAATTTTCTGATGTGCCAAAAAAAATAAAAAAATAAAAAATTTCAAAACTTCACAGAATGGCTTAGAATACCTGTGGCCACCCGCTTTGAGTGAAATTTAAATTTTTTGAGGTGCCCAAAAAAATAAAAAATAATAAAATAATTCAAAACTTCACAAAATGGCTTAGAATACCTGTGGCCACCCACTTTGAGTGAAATTTAAATTTTTTTAGGTGCCCAAAAAAAATTAAAAAAAATCAAAAATTTCAAAACTTTACAGAATGGCTTATAATACATGTGGCCACCCACTCTGAGTAAAATTTTAATTTTTTTAGGTGAAAAAAAAATCAACAAATCAAAACAGATTTCTGGAGCAGAATTAGTCATGTTTTACCAAACAGATTTCTCCTCCAGAAATCAATTTCTGGCAAGAATTTGATTTCTGGAGCAGAATGGTTACCATTCGCACCCTTACCAACCCCGTGCTAGGTTTACATATTTAAGCACAGGGAACAAACAAAGTTCCCGTCCGCGATACATTACATATACACCTTTATGGCTTCGGATGCAGTTCTATAGACAGACAAAGAAATATAGTAAAATGGCACAGCACATGTCGAGTGCATTATTTCTTGGCATGACCCTGAAAGTGCATGCTTGGCCTGATCAAGGGGTTCAAGTTTTCCAGAACAAGGATCAAAAGCCATTTACCTCCGGCCTCGTCGCCTATTTCTCCGCAGCTTCGCCCTCCTGTTTCCAACGGGCAACCACCTTTCGGCAATTCTATCTATAATATCAAAGTATGCCTCCGCCCAAGAATTCTTGATGTGCAAGACAACAGCCGGAACTAAGATACCGGCAGCAAATCCAAGGCCAACGCTCAAGTAAAACCACTTATCGATGAACTCATCATCATCGCCACCATCCTTGGTTGTCCCTTGTTTGTCAGGTTCATCAGCTGGACACGTGACATTAAGGGGAGCACCGCAAAGTCCTGGGTTTCCAAAGTATGAAGAAGGGCCGAATGTTGTCATCTGTCGTGTGTAAGGAATCTTGCCTGAGAAGTTATTATCAGATAAGTTCAGATAACTCAAAAACGACAGCGACGACATGCTTTGAGGGATTGCACCAGAAAACCTGTTGCTTGAAAGATCAAGCGATGCCAGTTGGCTCATGCCTGAAATGCTTTCAGGAATCTGACCACCAATGCTGTTCCTTGATAAGTTCAGAACGAGCAATCCAGCCAGTTTTGTCATCTCTTCTGGAAGTTCTCCATCTAAATTATTTCCGGAGATGTCTATGCTAGTGACAAGGGAAAGAGTCTTGGTGTACAGCTGGGGCTGGCTTTTCGTGGTCACTACGAAGTTCTCATCATAGTACATGCCTCTGTACTTCCCGTAAAATAGGTACTCGTTTCTAGCTTGCCCTTCCACCATTGCTTTAAGATATCCAAAGCTTGTAGGAATGTTACCTGTCAAGTTGTTTTCTGCAAGATCCAGCATTTGCACTGAACTTAAACTTGAGAGCTCGTGAGGAATTTCTCCAGAAAATGCATTGGACCTCAAACTTAAAATTCTCAACTTGATGAAACCCTCTGCCATCCATGCAGGTATGGTGCCATTCATTTGGTTGTTGCCAAGATCTAGTGTTTCTAAGCTCGACAGGTTCTTGAATGAAGATGGAAGGTCTCCTGAAAGCTTATTGTTGCTCAGGTGCAGTGACTGAAGCTGTTGTAATTGGCCCAAAGATGCAGGTATCAACCCCGATAGAGAATTATTTTGCAGGTCTAGTACCTTTAGGAACAAGCAGTTCCCTATGCTTGCAGGAATGCTTCCACTCAAATTGTTGTTTGCCAAGTCGATCACCTCAAGCAATTGCATTTCTCCTATAGATTCTGGGAGCCGACCTGTTATTTCGTTAGATGAAAGGGAGAGGAAGATCAAATTTGGCATGTATTTGCTTAAATTTTGCGGAATGCCACCTGCAAATTGGTTGTTAGAGAGGTCTAATAATTCAACCTCAGAAATGGGAAGAGGGAACGGTCCCTGAAAAAGGTTAGAGCTGAGATCAACATCTGCAAAAGGAGCTATTGGCAATGGATTAGGTAATTGGCCCTGCAACTGATTTAGAGACATGTTTAGGAGAGAGAGATTGGAAGAAATATCCCAAAACCAGCTTGGCACAGGCCCCGAAATGCTGGCATTTGAAAAACCAAGATACATGATCTCATTTTGATATCTAAGCCAGGCAGGGAAAGACGGACCAATCTGGCACGATCCCATGCCAAGATTCCGGGCTTGGAACGGGGGCATCCAATTGGCACTGACATTTAAAGTGAAAGAGTTGGACGAGAGATCTAAGATCTTCATTTTGCGTAGACTTGCAAAGTGTTCTTCGGATAGTATACCCGACAAATGATTGAAAGACACATCGAAACCGTCCAACTCAGAAAGCTGTCCCAGTTCAACGGGAAGAGTCCCGTTCAATTGGTTCCCACCAAGGCCCAGACTGGTGAGGTTCTTCAGAGTCCCAAGAGAAGAAGGAATCGGCCCTTCAAGAACGTTATAGTCGAGGTTAAGTTCCTCAAGGTTCTTAAGTTGGCCCAACCAACTTGGCAGATAACCACTTAGCCGATTGTTGCTCAATGTCAAGTACCTCAAATTAGGCAGGGAACTCTGGGAATCACAAGTTTCAGATCCCCTCTGGAAGATTTGCGGCAAGCTACCTGTCAAGTTATTGATGGATAAATCAAAATTAACTAAACTGCAAAGTGAACCAATGGAGCTCGGTATTCCTCCCCTGACCAGATTGTCAGAAAGGTCAAAATTAGTGAGAGTGGTCATTTTCCCAAGGGAAGTGGGAAGTCTCCCGTGTATTTTGTTAGCAGCCAAATCCACAACTTCTATCCTTTTCCATGATCCTTGGAAATACTGAGTGCAACTGGCTGAGAGATTTTTGTTTCCAGATAAAATTAGGATTTGCAAATGTGGTAGCTCGCCTAGTCCAAGAGGGATCCTTCCATATAGACCACTGTAACTCATGTCAACACTAACAAGGCTGCTTACATTCACGAGCCATTGAGGGAACTTTGAATCGAAGATGTTGAAACTGAGGTCCAGAACAGCCAGTGAAGTGAAGTTCACCAAACCAGGTGATGATATCAAACCAGATAGGCCACAATTGGACAGATGCAACCCAGACAACGACGGGAACCCGTTTAATACATTGATCCATTCGGAACTGACCATTGAAAGGTCCACTCCATCAAGTGCAAGATATTTCAGAGAACCAAGACCAGAGATCCACCCGAGATTATTAGCACTTAAGCCAGAAAAGTCAGAAGAAAGATCAAGATACTGCAAATTTGAAGAATTTCCTAGATTTGGAGGAATTGCACCACTAAACCCGGCATGTGACAGGTTCAGGTACCACAGGTTCTCCAAAGAACCGACAAATTCAGGAAGTGGAATGCCATCAAATTTATTTGAGCTCAAGTCCAAGTATCTCAAAGACTTGAGTCGCGCTAATGAAGGTCTAATTTCTCCACTCAGTTTCCAATAACCGTAGGCACCAGAGTTTGGTCCATATGAGCCGTGAAGATCAATGCTTATTACCCCTCCGGTCCTCTCATCGCAGACTATTCCTCGCCACCGGCAACAATTGCTACCTTGCCATGAGGATAGGTGATTATCAGGATCTTGAAGGCCATTTTTGAACTCAATTAGAGCTTCTCTGTCAGACTCTGAGCAATTCCCAGCAGGGATATTGCCATCACAAGGCGATAGCCATGCTAAAATGGAGATAGAGACCAGTATAATACGAAGGGATGAATCTCTCTTCATCTTGATCAGAAGATGTAAAACTGTAGGTTGCAGCACAAGGACTAATAACCTGGGACTAGTTTGTTTCAAGTATTCCTCAACAAGACAAGGGGGATCAGCGTCATGACATGTCCTAAGAAAGTGAAAGAGATGTGGATTGATTGATTCTTTGCGGGTAAAATTTTCAGGCATGGAGTTTAAAAAGGTTCAATGATTTGAAAAACTAACGTCATCTATTGTATTAAATTCATTGTTAGGTTTTGGAGTCAAAGAGACGGCATTCATGGATTCATTCACATGACCCGGTCATCCCATTCCTGCATCAATATCAGATCTTTTTATTATATTGTGCCATCTCATACGTTGATCTCGTTTCTCAAGCACTGCATCAAGTCAGCTTTTGAAATTGCTCTTCTTTTTTACTAACAACAACAAAAATGGGAAAATTTTCAAATAAGGACATGAAGTACCCTTATTTTTTCAAATAAAAGCCTAAAATTAACCTTCTTTCAAATAATAGCTTAAGGTATCCAAATCGTCTCAAATAAGAGCTTGAAGTAGCCAAATCGTCTCAAATAAGGACTTTTGACCGGCTGGCCAACATGTGACTATTCCAGTAGGGGTATTTTAGTTAAAAAAAATAAATATATTTTTTTAAATTTTTTTGATTTTTTTTACTTTCCTTTTCTTTTTTCATTTTTCCTCTTTCCTCGGCTGGCCATTGCCACGCCTCATTGATGGCTAGCGACCTCCGGCCTCAGGTGAGGGCGACCCTCGCCAGATCTAGCGAGGGCAGCCCTCACTCTCTCCAGCACAGGCGAGGGCGACACTTGCCTAATGCCGGTGAGGGCTTCCCTTGCCCGCACAAGCAAGGGCGACCCTCGCCTAAGTATGGCGACCTCCGCTAGCCATTGGTGATGGCCGGCGGAGGGAAGAGTAGAAAAGAAAAAGAAAAGGAAAAGAGAAGGAAAAGAAAAAAGAAAGAAAAAAATTCAAAAAACAAAAGGATAGAAATGCCCTTCGGCCGGTTAGGTCAAGACCTTCTTTGAGACTAATATGGCTACTAAAGGCCCTTATTTGAGACAACGATGGCACTTTAGACTCTTATTCAAAACAATGTTTATTTCAGACTCTTATTTTTAATTTTCCCAAAAAAATATCTTGATGATCACACTTCCTGTAAGAAAAAAAGTGCATCTTGAACCCAGTATCTTAACTGATGCCAAACATGAATACTTGTAGACTTGAATAGAATAGGGGGAATTACATTTATCTTTTTGTAGGTTTAAGTCGAGGAAAAGAAAATAACGGGATTTAGAGAATGGTGGGAGTCTGAAACTAATTTGCAATATTCTTGCGCATGGATATATAAATTGTCCACACGCCTAATACGAGCACTTAGTTGACTCCTGTCCATGCTCAACGGGTCAAGCAAGGAAAGATTCTCCCTTCCTCAAGTCCATCACATCCTTCATTGATACACGGAAGGATTTGGCCAAAAGGCCTTTATGAAGAGATGACTATAACTCATGTAAATGAAGTAAAAAATGAAGGATACGATGGACTTGAGGAAGGGAGAATGTTTCCTTGCTTGACCCGTTGAGCATGGACAGGAGTCAACTAAGTGCTCGTATTAGGCGTGTGGACAATTGGCTAAGAATAACATGTCTTCAAAAGAAAGGCTAAGAAATGAAGGAGATTTGATGAACCTTCTTTCTTTTTTGTTCTTCTTTTTAACCATGGAAAGGAATGAAGTCGAGGGTAAAAACCTAAAATGGTTGGCACTTCAGTTGCTTCAAACCTTCTTTGGTCCAATTTCAATAAGCATGGAAGGTTACGATCCAAAAAGCAGGTTGGGTATGATCCAACATACATGGTTTGGTACTAAAATCAGGTTGCCACAACTTATGATAGCTAAAGAAAATTTACGATCCAAGAAAAGACAAGCCACGGCATTTTCAGAAAATTTTCTGCATTCATGAAAGGTCGTGAACCAAAGGTGGTATACGAAAATAAAAGCTATTTTGCGAGTGCAAAAGGTGATTTATGAACTTTAGTATCAATTATGATACAATTGGCATTTAACTGCGAAAATGAAAAGGTGAACTTACGAAACGTGAAGGCATCTTACAAACTCAAAGGTAAGTTACGAACTTTATCTATCATTTACCATACAATAAGTAACATTACTGCAGAAATGAAAAGATCGGAAGGGTAATTTACGAGACCAAGCCTTGAATCAGTCAAAGAGAAAGAAAGAATCAGAGGATTTTTACATTTTTATATTGTAGTCGGATTTTGTACTTTATCTGTTGAAATTAATATAATTTGACATACACTATATATGATCGAAATCATAGATTAGAATGTTATTTCTTATTTGTGTACAGACACGTGAAGATGTGTTCGCGAACATATATCCACGCAAAACACGTGGTAGTTTTTTGCCATGCCATTTAGATATAAACTTCAACTTATTGATTTGTCATTTACCAACTTCGGTCTTAGGACTTTAAATTCGATTAATTTAGAAAAAAAATCTTGAAATACATTTTTATAGATTAATTTTATTTTAAAATTAAACCATGATAGTAAAATCAATTTAAAATATTTTGTTTCTTTTAATTTGAAAATCGAAAAATCAGGCACAGATGAAATATCTTGAAACAAATTTTCGACCGACATATCTATTATATATAGTCAAAGCTAGAGCTTAGAGAATATTTCTTCTAGTATTTTCCATGTGGCACTTCACTTTGCAAGACACATGGCATAATTTGCAAGATGGACCATACCAATAAGCTTTTAGTTTATTTTTATTTTTATTTATTTTTTTTTTTTTGTAACCGAGGATTCGCCACCGTTCCCCGGGGACGAGCCCGCACAGGTAATTGGAGCGCCTATACATCGGGGGAGACTAGCCCAGCAACCCACCGCCATGGCCCCTACTTAAATTACGAAATCGAGCGAGGATTCGAACCCAGAACCTCTTTGAGGGAAGGAAAACGCCCACCAACTCGGCCATGCGCAGGTGGGTAGCTTTTAGTTTATTCATCTCTCATCTGTAAACTTCTTTCCTTATTAATTTTAAAAAATTCAAGAAATGGATAAATAGTTAAAGACAGAGTAAATCTAGATTTGATCTCTTACTAAGTTTAAACTTGAAAATTTTGCTAAATTAGAGAAAGCATTTATATACTTCTTGACATGTAACATATTGTTAATTAGTTTCTTATATATATATATATTCTTCAATATATTATATAATTTGAATTTAAATGATTTAATTTTTAATCAAGATAACAATAAGATATATTCAATAAAAAGTTCTAAAACTAAAAATAAAGAAAACGCTCCACAAAGAATAAAAAAAAAAAAGTAGAACAAATAACGACACATGTCCTTAATGGAGAAACTATTGTTGATTCAAACTATAACTTTTATTCCATTCAAATAAATCAATTTAGTGCATAAATAATGACAGTAAATAAAGAAATCCACTTAATTTAATATTCCAAAAGTATGGATTAGGACATCACGAGCTTTAATTTTCATAATACATTTTGTCTTTGTTGCTGTGACTTACTTACAACATAAAGCATTTGCATTTTATTAGTTATATTTAGGTTTCTGAATGAATTTTTTTCAAAAATAGCTTCCATTATTGTACTCTAAAAATTACCTGTTCAATTATGTTTTACATGCTTAGGAAACATAAAAGAGTCTTTCATGCCCGAATCTCAGGCATCCTCAAATTATGCTATTCTTCTGGAAAGATACCTGTAAAGACATGCTCGCGCAAAGCACGGGGTTAAGTAATGTAGTTAATTTTAAACTAAACAAAAAACGGACATCTTATGAATTTTTTTATAACAAAAAGTTTATGTTTTATTTTAATTATATTTATTTGATCTAGAGGGCTTAATTAGTGGATCAAGAATTAAGTAAAATGAGACAAGGAAACTTTAATAAATTAAGCAGGGATAACGTGGAAGCTTTTAGTATAGGGTTAATACCACGAAAAACTTCAGATTGGTACACCCGTGACAAATTTATCCAAAACTAATTTTTTAATCACAAAAACTCCAAAATAGTACACATATGACAAATTTACCATTTGTTAGTTTCCGTTAAATTGGATTAATATCATGAAAAATCCCAAACTGGTACATCTGTCAACTGCCACGTGTCATTCAACTCAACAATTTGATTGTAAAATTTAACGAAAACCAACGAAGGATAAATTCATCCCATATGTACCAGTTTAGGGTTTTTGGTGGTAAAAATATAAGTTTGCGGTCAATTTATCACATATGTACCGGTTTGGAGTTTTTCGTGGTATTAACCATTGTATATCTAGTAATTTAGCTTTGCCTGTACAACAACACAAAGATATAAAACGATAATTTCCTTTTTACTACCTAATTTTCTCTCATGATGATAGTAAATTCCCTAACGTTTTCGTAAGTTCTGTGCTCTTGGGATCGTAACTTTCTTTCGTTGTTTATAATTTTTCTCAACACCGATAATAATTTTCCTTATTTTCTCGTGAGTTCTGATGTCATATTGTGCGTTGTATTACACGTAACTTTCCTATGAAGTTCATAAGTTCCGTTTGTGAACTGCCTCAGCGATCGTAAGTTCCCTTTGTTCATTGTAAAGTTCTTCCATTGGTTACTAACTTACTAAAGGCTTAATTACGATCGCTGACATATAAGAAGTAATCCATTGTTACTAACTTACTAAAGGCTAAATTACTATTATACTTTCATAAAACTGTCGGTAATTTATTTTTTATTTTTTTTATTTTTTTGGTAACCCAGGGAACCCCCGCACGGCCGACAGCCGGGGAGTAAACCCTGGGGGCGACACGTGCTAGCCACCACACACGTGCCACCGGTTAAGTCACCCTGCGGCGCTCGGGATTCGAACACTCAACCTTTTGCGAGAGGAAGAGTGCGCGCTCCAGCAGCGCCACCCAGGCGGGTGGTACTGTCGGTAATTTATTAACATGTTACAGGTTCAATAAGTGGCCAGTCAGAGGTGAGTTACTAATAGGTTTGAAATTTAACAAAGCTTTACATGAATTTCCGGCACGGAATAATGTTCCGCATTTTCATGCACGGAACCCTAAAAATCTGCTTGTTGTGTTCTTATTCATGTAGCCCTTCTTGGGCTTTGTGGTTTGAGGGCCTTAACAGAGGAGGCCAGATGTAGAACCGCTTGAAAATGCGCCTATAGTTCCAACAACTAATGTCCAGAACCAGACATTATAAATTACCTTGGACGGCTTTCTTCATCAAAAGATGCTCCAAGAGCAAAAGATGCTCCAGGTGTGGCCAAGACTAGTCATCTAGAAACGACGGAAGCAATGAGTTTGTTACCTTCTCTGGTGCATCTACATAACAATCCAACTGCCAAGAAAGTCTGCTTTAAGTGCACCATTCTGTGAAGCTTTCCTAGAGAGGTCACAGACCAGTGCCATAGATCAGAGAGAGAGAGAGAGAGAGAGAGAGAGATGAAGGTGGTGTGTGTGACAGGAGCATCCGGTTATATAGCATCATGGTTGGTGAAACTCCTGCTCCAAAGTGGCTACACTGTCAAAGCGACTGTTCGTGACCCAAGTCAGTTCAAGACCCTTGATTACATTCGCACATGACATCGTTTGTGGCTTCATCATTCCAAATCATTACAACTTCTTGTTCTAATATTACATGTACCAGGTGATGCAAAGAAGACTGGGCATCTGCTTGCTCTAGATGGAGCCAAGGAGAGACTTCATCTTTACAAGGCAGACTTACTGGAAGAAGGATCTTTTGAATCTGTTGTTGATGGCTGTGATGGTGTCTTCCACACTGCATCACCTGTGCTTCTCACCCCAAAAGACCCCAAGGTTCTTTTGCTCTCTCAAAGGCTTGTGTCATGGTCTCTCAAATGTTCTTTTTTCCTTTGTTTCTTTGGAAACACAGCTTACAAATTTTGTTGCCAAAGCAGTGGTTTTGTATATTGTATATTGTTGTGGCCATTGCAATTAAATGCAGGAGTTGTGACAGTCTAGGTATAGAGGACAAAGTAGGAGCCAATTTCAAACTGTTAGCATGAAATCAAGGGCAAAAAAGAACAGAGAAGCTTTCTGCCAGGGCAACACATCTAAGTCTTTAGCACAATGCATTTATCCATATCGAGGTTTCTCCATCTCTGTATATGCTCGACTTCAATAAGTTCAGTAGTTCATACTTGTCTTTCCATGTCTCAGATGGAGCTGATAGATCCTGCAGTGCAGGGAACAATTAATGTTCTTTCTTCTTGTGCCAAAGTCCCAACAATCAAGAGAGTAGTGATAACATCTTCTATAGTTTCAGTTGCATTCAATGGAAAGTCTTTGACTTCCGATGTGACAGTAGATGAGACTTGGTTCTCTGATCCAGTCTTCTGTGAGAAATCAAAGGTAATTATACATGATATTTCTAAATTCAACTAAGTCATCAGAACATGCTGTTTTTCACCTTTCTTGTATCATCAAATAATTCTTAGAAAATGTCAGAAATGCAGAACATTTTCATTTTTGTTTATAGTTGGATGAACTGCATAAAAAATTTTTACTCAGATATAAACCTTGGATCTGTTACAAGTTCTTCCTAGTAACTTTAAACCATCACAGAGGAGCTAGCATGCATCAACTACTCAAATTTGTTTCATTGTGCACTTCTTGCTTTTCTGTTTCAGCTTTGGTATCCAGTTTCGAAAACCTTAGCAGAAGAGGTAGCGTGGAAATTTGCAAGAGAGAAGGGGATCGATTTGGTCACGATGCATCCTGGGTTTGTCATTGGTCCCCTACTACAGTCTTCGCTTAATCTCAGCGCAGAAATGTTTCTCAACCTCATCAATGGTAGTCTCAAGTAACTGACAAATTTATTACATTGTTTATTCTGATGAGATTAGGATTCTTACAAGTAAAGTTGTTCCCATTAAATGGTACTTTTTACACGATTTGTCCCCAATAATTTGTCCACAACTTAACAAGCAAATGTCAAGAGGAAATATATGTTGATTCATTTTATGATGTGTGATGGAACTTATTAAACTGATACAAACGGCAATAGATGTGATGGAACTTGATTCGATGAAATACACAGATTTATTGGAACCATCTTTATGACACTAGGAGACTTAGAAGTGAAGTTGTTCCCATCTGATGCTGAGATATTTGCTGCAGGAACTCAAACTTTTCCTGACACAAGCTACAGATTTGTTGATGTAAGAGACGTTGCACATGCACACATTCAAGCTTTCGAATCTCCTTCCGCTAACGGCAGATATTGTCTTGTTCACAAAGTCGTGCATTCTCACGATGCTTTGAAGATCTTGCGAGAGCTATATCCTGCTCTACACCTTCCTGATAAGTAAGATTCGCACATTAGATGTCCGGTTATGATATTCTTATAGTGTACTAAACTTGTCTGCTAAAAAATTCCTGGCCATCTTCCTCATCATTGATCCCTATCCCTCTGTTTTGAATGATGTCAAAAAATCTAATTTCAGCACTCTCAAAATTTTGTAGCATCAAGTATAAAAATTTAAGGAGTAATGTCAGGAAATCTTTGCGCAGAATACCAAATGATAGTCTCAAAACATTTCATGTTTTCTGTATTTTGTGCAAAAGACTATAACAAGACGACTCACATTTGGCTTTGCTAAAAGCAGAAGTGAAGATGAAGAGCCTTCCGTGCCAACCTATAAAATATCAAATGAGAAAGCCAGAAGTCTGGGCGTCAGTTTCACTCCCTTGGAGGTGAGTTTTCAGGACACTGTGGAGAGCTTGAAAGAGAAGGGTTTCTTCAAGGACTGATGCTACAACGGGCGACTAAAAGAATAAAAACTATGCCAAAGTCGATTAGATGGGCATTTTCTGCCGCAACACACTTACATCAGAGTTTCCTTCGGGGCGATCTGAAATTTTCAAATTTCTCCAGAATTTCTACAATGCCACCTGAAGCTTGCGGATGCAGCTATTGTCATTGTCAGACGAATGTTTGACTGTTATCTGTATTGAGTAGCTTGAAATCCAGCGGCAATCCAAGGAGTTCACATGTGCATGGTAGTGAAACTCAAGCGTCCTGTGTCAAAGGGATAAAAGAGAAAATGGCAATAAAGACAATGGGTCTAATAACCAAAAGTCTACGTGTAGTAAAGGTACAACCGATGCAGTCAATTCCAGGAAACAGGAAGATGTTCTGGCCTGCTATCCGAGGGCAAAATGCCAATCCAATTGAGCAACCGGCGCCACAGCATACACCTTTCCTCCCTCGTTCAAGAAAACAGCGAGCAGGGAGATCTTCTCAAGCCTCTTCGCAGGCTCGTAGCCTCTCAATGACAACATTATCCCCAGCCGAATAAAATGGCTATGGTGCGGTGGTCGTAAACAAGGTAAGTTTCATACGCACATCCTAAAGTCAAAGAAAAACTGAAGCATGTTTCCCTGGATCAAAGGAAGAGATGCTGAACTTCTTAAATTTCCATCACCTCTCTCGGTGAGGAAATTGCTAAGGCACAAGTGCTCAACTTCCACGAGCTATCCCATTTCACCGCATGTCTTTCCCAAACCCTACAGTAGATTACCACTTATTTATAGATTTTCAAGTTGGCGGAACTATTTGTAAATCATCGATAACATAATATTTCGACCATCCACAAGCCTGATAGAAGATTACCATATAACTTTAAATTTTACAAGAGGGACGTAACTATTTGTAAATTACCAATGAAATAGAATATTACCAACCAAAAATCCAATAGCAGATTTACCGCTTGGAAAAGCAATCAGCGTGGTGTGGTTGGATTCACAACAAAAGCAATATACTTAGTTCGGGTTACATGAGACAACCAGGGAAAGAGGAAGAGAAACAAACTAACGAGATGTTCCTATATTAATATTCCAAGCCAAATGACACATTTGAGATATGGAGAAATTTCACACATCCAAAAAGATTCGGATACTTGAAAAACATAAATCATAGATCGGCTCCTATAGCCGCATGGCACGCAAAGTTACTCGCCATAGATGAAGTGTGCATGATTCATGGTTTTTTTTTTTGCCTGTACACTCCGCAGGGATCCCACTATTTTTTTCTCGGCTACTTTTAAATCATATCTCGAATTTGAATCCGTGTACAAATCGTGACCCAACACACAAATCACGTAATAAATCGATGGATTGTTTTCTGTTGGAGCGTGTAGTGTACATCTGAAGAGCAGTATATTCAAGTTTGACCTGTTTGACTGAATATCATTAGACTCCTCTGAAGAGCGTCTAGTGAAGTCTCTTTGTTAGCCGCACGATAAAGGTGTTCATATCCATATATATTGGTTGTTGCTGTTCAGAGCAGTACTCGTGGGTTCTATTTAGTTACTCCTTTCAAGCCGCGAAAGAGGGATTCTTAGGGTGCGCATGACAACCATTCTGTGCCCGGGAACTATTTCTGAATAGAAATGATTTTTTTTTATTCTGTGCCCGGAAACAATTTCTGTGCATTTGAAAGCATTTGGTAAACTGTCCAAAATTTCTATTCCTAGAATAGAAAAGAACAAAAATGCGTTTGGTAAGTACAAACAAATTTCTTTTTATTAATAATATTTTGAATTGTTTATTTTTTTTTTCTTTCTACCCAGGCCATGGCCGGTCGCCGGCGACCGGCGGCCGGCCACAGCCCAGGGCCGGCGAGGGCGTAACGGCCCTCGCCGGTCGCCGCGGAGGCGAGGGTCCCCCTTGCCGGCGAGGGCGAGGAGGCTCGCCGTCGGTCATGGCGAGGTCGGCCTCGCCCGGATCGGGCGAGGCGGCTCGCCGTCCCGGTCGGGCGAGGCCGAGCCTCGCCGTCGCGACCCACGGCGAGGTCGGCTTCGCCGTGGGTCGCGACGGCGAGGCTCGGCCTCGCCGGATCTGGGCGAGGCCGTCGTGACCCATGGCGAGGTCGGCTTCGCCGTGGGTCGCGACGGCGAGGCTCGGCCTCGCCAGATCCGGGCAAGGCCGACCTCGCCATGACCGACGGCGAGCCGCCTCGCCGGCGCGGCGAGGGTCCAACCCTCGCCCTCACCGGCAGGGGGACCCTCGCCTCCGCCGGCGGCCGGCGAGGGCCGTGACGCCCTCGCCGGCCCTGGGGCGTGGCTGGTCGCCGCGACCGGCCACAACCCAAGAAGAGCAACATAAAAAGAAGAAAAAAAACCGATTCTAAAAATTGTGCCGAGACGGCGACCGGCCACAACCCAAGAAGAGCAACATAAAAAGAAGAAAAGAAAAAGAAAAAAAAATTGATTCTCAAAATTGTGCCGAGAAACAAGAAGCAACTTTTTTTTACTTCTTGTTTCTCTTCCAAAACTGTTTCTCGGCACAAATATTTGCAAAAATGTGCCCGGGAACAAAAAGTTTACCAAACGCATTTCTGTTCCCAAACTATTTCTGGGAACAAAAGAACAGAAATTTTCACTGTTTGGCACGTTACCAAACGGGCCCTTATTTGTCGCCCACGAACAACATCAAAGAGTATCTTACTTCCAATTGAAATCGTGTTCAAAATGTGAGGTAATTGTCAATGATTTGTTTTATCGAGCAATTACATGAGGCTAAACATAGTGGTTTTGGGTGTAAATTTGTTAGAAATAATAGAATTGATTTTGGTATAGTTCTCAAGAGCCTGTATTGTAGAACATGGGAAATGCTTCAGTGTTGAAGTCGGTAATATTTCCACGTTGGAGTAGAGGTAGTAAAGTTTTGACAGGAAAATGTCCAGCTTGCATATTGAAGACAAGAAGTGTTCCAATTGGAACTTGCTTCTTAAACCGACTTCATTGAATGACCTGACTCAAAGTTGGACTCCTCTTAGTGTGTAGACTACAGTGAAGCAAACACCAAGTCTTGGTTTGATTCTTCTTTGGCAGTAATTGTGGGGGTAGCCGTTATATATGTGTACGCTAAGTAGAGTTTCATGAAGAGAGAGAAAAGATAAGCTTGTAGAGTTAAGCTTAGAGAGAAAAGGCTTGTATTGTGAAGCTTGTATAGAAAGGTGTGTTCTCCGTGTAAGCCTACGCAAAGGGCATTTTGAATAGAGTACTCTCTCCTTTGGGTATTTGTGTGCTCCTCTTACCAAAACCTTCAGAATTTTTGTATCCTTTTGGTTCCAACAAAATTAGGATTGGTAAACACTCGAGCATGTTGGTGTTATAGCTCTTCAATTTTTCTATTGATTAGTGTATTATATGATGCTGGCTCTCTCTCCATGAACTAGGTACCAACACTTAAGCCAAATCACGTAAATCTCTTGTTTTTATTTATTCTCTGGTGATTTCACGTTGAACCGCATTACTATTACAATGCTTTGTATGGAATTTTAAGTTTTCTCCTAGTTTTTGCTGGAGTAGCGAGGGGCTTCCTAGTTACTTTAAATTTTTGCTAGGCCATAAAGAAACGTTGTAATCCGAATGAACTGAATTTCTTATAATCTGCAGAAGACGTTTCTTTCATCTTAGCCCTCTTCTCATAGCTCACTTTTTCTTTATAAACAATCGTACCGCTCATCTTTTCCGTTGTTCTAGAGATAAAAGCCACTCCATGAAAGAGACTTGCCTTGACGATCTATATCTAATTAGTAAACTATCCCTTATGGTCAAGAAGACTAGGTGGTCATTGTACCATTCAACTTTTTCTGGAAACAAATTTAAACAACGAGTGAAAGTCCATGCCTCAAGCCGGTCAAATAAATGATCTTGACAAAGTGCAGAGGTTGAATATCTCCTGAACGTAATAAAAGAGAATTCCCACTTATAAATGTATTGCACTCAGTAACCCTCTCATCCCCAGTTCCAAGGAGGAGAGGAGCAGAGATGAGTGCAGCAGAGAAGGTGGTGTGTGTAACCGGAGCGGCCGGTTACATTGCCTCCTGGCTTGTCAAGTTTTTGCTTCAGCGTGGATACACGGTCAAAGCAACTGTACGCAATCCCAGTAAGTTTTTATCTTTGTTCGCACTCCATTGTTCACAAATTGGATTTTTAATCTTTGGTTTGTCCATTTTAGTAGTAGAATGGTTTACTCTTTCTTAGTTGAAGCTTGAAACATTCTAGATAATACGGAAGTTCTACTAAAATCTGTTACTCAGTTATGATGAAAACTATTCTCTTATAATATATCTTACCTTTGCAATTAACTCATCTATACATGTGTAATTGTTTGTAAGTGTGTGTGCATGCCTGTATATATACCTTATGCTTCAGGGTACATACGATACAATAGCATCCAGAGTCACTAGCTAAAGACATGAAGCTCTTGTAATATCTGATTCCATTTGCTTAACTATTCAAGTTTGGTTTAATACACAATCATATGCTACCTCTATAGCAAGATCCAATGCGTGGCGTACATTATAAATTTATATTTGTGGTCTTCTTATCTATTGACAACATTTCATGTTATGTGACTGAAAGCTCCCAGAGTTTTAATCTATTAAATCAAGTTCTCCTTTCTTGAACGCATAAACAGATGATCCAAAGAAGACACAGCACCTTCTGGAACTTGAAGGGGCTAAGGAGAGACTCTATATATTCAAAGGAGAATTGCAGGAAGAAGGGTCTTTTGACTCAATTGTTGACGGGTGTGAAGCTGTTTTTCATACAGCATCACCGGTTTTTTTCTCAGCTTCCAAGCCTGAGGTATCGGTATATTGCAGTTGTACGTCATGATTTTCTGTATTTGTTAAATGTGAAGTGTCACATTTTTCAAATTCCAGTTCTTTTTCCCTGGTCTTCTGGTGCAGTTCATCAGACGGCACATGATCTAACATTTCTTGGATGATAAGACAAAACCGTTCTAATCAGATTCCTTTCCTTACACATTGCAGGCTGACATAGTCGATCCTGCAGTTAAAGGTACCCTAAATGTTCTCAGATCATGTGCAAAGGTCCCTTCTATCAAGAGAGTGGTTTTGACGTCCTCCATGGCTGCGGTTGTCTGCAATGGGAAGCCTCTGACCTCTGATGTGGTAGTTGATGAGACATGGTTCTCAGATCCGGCATTCTGTAAGGAATCAAAGGTGTGTAAGTAAGCTGGCTTATGACAGTCGGATCTCTTTTGCTTGGTCTGTGATGCCCCACCAACTGGATGAATTTTTCCAATGAAAAATTTTCAATAGATTTGATTTTGACTGGTATTGGAGCATAATTCATGTTAATTTAATCGAATACTGAGGCTGAACATGTTCAGTCCTGGCTTAATATTAGTGGCCCAGCAGTCAAGACGCATCGTCTTCCTTGCCGTAATGGTTTTTCATCGACCTATCTGATTAATTCCTCAACCTTCAAGCATGTCCGTTTGTTTGCCCATATTTGGCCATTGTAGATACTAGTTGAGTGCCTCGCCTCACAGAATACCTCTATATGACCATTAGATTTATGGGATGGACCCCTTTTGAAGAATTACTTGTCTAGTCCTTCTTATCCATTGACTTCGAAATGTCAAACAAGGCAGAGCAAATTCAGAGTCATGTTGATGTCAATCACATCCATCAGCGGTGCGAGCTCTCTCATCGCCTAACTTTGGTTTAATTATTTTCAGCTTTGGTATGTGCTATCTAAAACCTTAGCGGAGAAGGCAGCTTGGGATTTTGCAAGAGAGAATAGGATGGACCTGGTCGTGATAAACCCTGGACATGTGATTGGCCCTCTCTTGCAGCCTACCGTCAATCTCTCTGTGGAGATGATACTGAACCTCGTCAATGGTATTACTTAAAATTTAATGCTTGACATGTCTACCATGTTGTTTTCCATGAATGGAAATATCTTTCAACACATACCATTAGCCTTGTGTCAGCATTGTGGTTCTCATTTGTTGCCTGATATTGACGGTTCATTTGTATGCAAATGATTGAGGACTTTTCACCAAATTTTCTCTGTGAGATAGAGACCCAACTGCACATGGAAACTCATTTTCCTACCAAAGTGCACTTTGCTGTTGTGTTGTGACTACCAAAGTGCACTTTGACTACAATTTGAGGCTTATACAATGCAGGAGCTCGAACATTTCCCAACATCTCTTACAAATTTGTTGATGTCAGAGATGTGGCACATGCACATATTCTAGCTCTTGAAAATCCTTCAGCTTGCAGCAGATATTGTATGGTTGGAGAAGCTATTCATTGTCATGGCGTTTTGAAGATCCTGCACAACTTTTATCCTACACTGCACATCCCTGAAAAGTAAGCCCTCATATTTCTTCAATGTCTAAAGAGAGAGGTACATTTTATGAGCATCCCTAGAAGAAGTCCTATCTACTGCACATCAACATTATTAATGGTGCATGATTCATTGTTAACGCAGATGTGAAAATGACGAACCATTCGAGTTGGCTCCTCGGGTGTCAAGGCAACAGATTGAAGGTCTGGGTGTGAAGTTCATTCCTTTGGAGGTCAGCCTAAGAGACACTGTGGAAAGCCTCAAGGAGAAAGGCTTCCTCTGTGTCTGAGCTTCCTGACAAGCGACAAGGAAAACCCTATACTTCACCAGCATATATACAGTTTCCATGAACTTATAGTCATAATAAGCTTCCAGTAAAATTTAATGCTTCCCTCTTATTAGACTCCATCGAAGCATGCATGATGTCTTATAGTCACTTGCTCAGTGTAAGTTTGCAGACTCTAAACTTGAAAGTTGATGATGAACGTTGTTTGTTGAAGCAATTTTCTGCTTTTGCCAGTGATTTCTATTTCTAGCTTCATGTCCGACTACTTCTAACAACCTGACGTTTTGTATGTGAGTTGAGGTGAAGCTATGCCCTGTGTTTGTTCTGGGACAGAAAAGGCAACCTCTAACATGGATGATGGGGAATCCTAAGAACCATTCATGGTTCGACAAAAAGCCAAAAGAATCACTGGGAAGGTGAGATGTCGATCATTCCCATGTTCTGTTTGAAAGGCTTTTCATTAATCTACTCCTACTACGGGTCAAATGATGAATGACTAATAATAGGGCCACTAATCTCCACACTAATTTCCTGTTGGTGCTCCGCCATAATCCATCACAGTAAAGCTGCACTTTAGTTTCTTGCGTGGTGCACGATGGTCAAATTTAATTTTTAAAGGCACTGACATGTGATTGGCCCTCTTGGGATAGTCCATATATTGATACTTTCCATCTCTATCCCTTTTGGGCTTCTGGGAATAGCTCTTCTTCTGGCTTTAAAAATTATGCGAGTTTCGGTGATTGGGCGCTGATTGTGCTACAATGTTATGACAAATCCGTTCTTGCGGAACGAGAGAGTCTCTACATGCTATACCAAGTTGATTTATTTTTCAGATTTGTAGAATTTCCTTCTGACCAAAACAAAATTTGATGTTCATGTTTAAGGCAGATCAACTTCTAATGCATAAAATCGAGAAGACAACAAACAAATCAGGACTGATATTTTGAGCCCTTCCACCTTTGAATAAATATACAAACTTTACATTTGATTGGGACTGAGAAAACAAAAAACAAAATAAAAATCTATGATCTCTAACAATGACTGATGATGACGCACGATGTGTGGTGCATAGCATGTGGGTCGTCCGAGTCATTTTCACTAATGTCCATAAGCCTCGCCTGTTAGTTTTGACTCCTTCAGAGTCCGAATCCGACTTCCTCTCGGATTCAACTGCACCAAAATCAAACGCCGCCTGGTGAGACTCCCCCCTCCATCTGTAGTCGTCCACCATTCATTACGATGTTTAACATTTTTGTTCTGCGGACCTAATTGTCAACGTTCTCGTTCAGATGGACAGTTGCCTGAAACCCGATCCTGACGAACGTGATGAGCCAAACGGGAGAAAATTAGAAGTTGGGTGTGTGTTAGTCTCCTCCTCCTCCTGTCAAATTTCCCCAACCCCCACCACCTTTTTTTTAATTCTTTCCTTTTCATTTTAATCAAGGCTTATACGATGCAGGAGCTGTTACATTTCCTAATATGCGTTGAGGATCTGTCGATGTCGGAGATGTTGCACATGCGCATATTCGAGCTCTTGAACACCCTTCAACTAGTGCCGGGTACTGCATAGTAGGATAACTCCTATACGCTCACGACGGTTTGAAGACCTTGCACAAGCTTTGTCCAACATTGCACGTCCATGGTGAGTCCTCGCTTTATTTCAACTTCACAAGAAAGGAACATTGTCATTCTACCGTTGATTTATGTAGATTGAATTCAGTGCAAAGGATTTAAAACCAAAAGATCGAGCGACTTGAAAGGACAATGCTCAATTTCCAATCATCTGTACAAGAGGAAATGCAATGTCCTGATGCCAAACTGTTGCCCTGTGAGCCCACCTTTCAGAATGACATGGCTACCAAGACGAACGGCGACGGCATTTGGTGATCTGCAGAATCGAAATTGTATGGTGCATATAATTCGAACACATATGTTCGTTTCTCTTATATGTTATGCTTACCCATAACGTTTTACTAGCCCGGAACTATCAATTATATTGAAACTTTGGCAAAGAACAAAAAAAGAACGGCAATAGAATGAAAAGATGGTCATCTCAGAGAAAATTAGTAACGATGAAAAATGCTGCGAACCTTGACTGACGGAGAACACTGTAAAGTTTAGGGAGCTGTAAAATAATTTTATAAAATTTAACAACTTTTAACTACTAATGGAATCCAAATCTAACATGGAGAATAGTAATTTGAACTTCCAACTCGGCCAAGAGACGAGTCGGTCACAACTCTCAAAGATGTTTGATAAAAATGTCGGAGCCTTTTGCGTATATTATGTGTACTGTAGAACCTTGAATTGATGTATGATCAATCTAAGATTTCCCGTTATTAGCAATCTTGTAATTTTACTATTGGATGCGAGATTTGAAAATGATAAATTCGTTATTTCAAAATTTACGAGAAAAATATCAAAAAAGCTAGGCCTATACCATTGACATTGGTGCCAATTTAGTCTTAAACATTTTTTTTGTGACAATTAGTTCCTAAACCTTTTGTTTTTGCGCCAATTTAGTCCTTCCGGCTAATTTCGGTCGGATTTTGCTGACGTGGACGCCCACCAGTCAGCCACAAGAGCTGACGTGGATAACTTTTACTAATATTTTAATATTTTTTTGAATTTGTATTTCTTTATTTCTTTTCTTTTTCTTTTCCTCCCCTCCCTCTTCCTTCAGCCGGTCGCCGAATTGGCGATCGACCAGAGGCAGGCGAGCCACACCGCAGTGACGGCAAAGGCGAGCCTTGCCATGGCTGAGCGAGGCTTGACCTCGCTAGATCCGGCGAGGTCGGGCCTCGCCCGGCCTTCGCCAAAGGCCGCGACCTCTGGCGAGGGCCAAGCGAGCCTCGCCGATGGTTGAGCGAGGCCCGATCTCGCCGGATCTGGCGAGGTCAAGGCTCGCCCGGCCCTCGCTAGAGGCCGCGACCTTCACCCTCGTGGTCTCTGGTGAGGGTCGGGCGAGCCTTGCCGGCGGCTGGGCGAGGCACGACCTCACCGGATCTGGCGAGGTCAACCCTCGCTCAGCCATGGCAAGGTTCCCCTTCGTCGTCGCTGGTGAGGGCGAGTCTCTCCAGTGGCCGATGTGGCTCGCCAGAGGCCGGCGAGGTCTTCTTGCCCCTGGCCAATTGCCGGTCCGACGACTGACCGAAGGAAGAGGGAGGGGAGGAAAAGAAAAAGAAATAAAGAAATAAAAATTCAAAAAATATTAAAATATTATTAAAAGTTATCCACGTCAGCAAAATCCGGTCAAAATTAGCCGGAATGACTAAATTGGCACAAAAACAAAAGGTTTATGACTCAATTGGCACCAAAAAAAGATTTAGGATTAAATTAGCACCAATGCAAAAGGTTTAGGACTTTTCTAACACTTTTCCCCAAAATTTACTATTGGATGTGAGTGTGGTAAAATCATTATATTGTTTCTAAGTTACTAACGAATTGACGGGCGAGTTGCCAAATCTAATCGAAGAACAAGTGGTGGAATAGGGTGGCCATTCAAAGTTTCCGCATCCATCTTTCTAATTGAAGAGCAAGGGCAGAATTCCATGGCGTTACACGACCCTCGAACGGCACCAAAGCATAATGCAGCTGAGATGAACATGTAGATGCCTACTATGAACGTGTTTGGAAAGATTTAGCCAATGTAGATAACGTCGTAGTGTGACATTGATAAAATTTAGCCAATATAGATGTGGTGTAACATGGAAAAAATTTTATCCATGTCACACAATGGCATTGTCCAATGGCCGCGCCAGCTAGATTTTCTCAAATTTGGTGTTGGTGGGACTTGATTAAAAAAATTGGATAAGTAGAAGGACGTGATAAGAAAAAGTAAACGATTCGAAGAACTGTGTAAGTACAGGAACGAAGAGTAGAGTTCGGCTTTTTTATTACAGTAGTTACCAAATCTTTCAGAAATACACCACCAAGGAAAAGATAACGGAAGTCACCCTCAGTTACGTTACAACTGAAGGATAGATTCGAGTAATAAACTACTTTACACATCCTTGGCCATGATGGATAAAATACTAAACAAAGATTAGATAGACTTATTATGATATGCATTAATATTGATAATCCAGGCACGAGCACGGAGCTCGACTATTTGGAAATCCAGTAAATACCCCTTAAGTCTCATGAAGAGGCAAATTCAGTCTTTAGTTTGAATATGCGACTCCGACCCACAATAGTTTACACGCAATTAATGGAAAGTTACATGGGCTATATCGAAACGAATATTTCCTAGAGTCGCGGCATCGCAAGACATTTCTTTGAGCCGTCGCCAATTCAGAAAAGTAAGTTGCCTTTGAGTCAGGCATGACACAAGTGATCAAATAGTTTGGCCAGTGCCCAACACTTGTGGTCAAGAGTAGGTGTTCGTTCAAAGTTTCTCCATCTATCTTCTCTGATTGAAGGATTTAAGTCTGTCAGACATGTGATTCAAGTTGAATACTATCTAAAAGCAATCCAAGATGATTTTTTACCTTATATATATGTAGATTGCAATCGGTATATACCATCTGAAGGCACAGGAGAAGAAGATTCAGCTCCAAGGATAGCAGGGGAAGAGAGGGAAAATGAGCACAACGGAGAAGGTGGTTTGTGTAACTGGAGGGGCCGGTTACGTAGCATCCTGGCTCATCAAGTTGTTGCTTCAGAGTAGCTATACAGTCAAAGCGACTGTGCGCTCACCAGTAAGTTCATAGTTTTATCTTCGAGTTTTGTTCTTGACAATTTTTTTGTTTTAGTTTAATCATTCTGATGCAAGGACTTCGTACCAAATTCCGCTTTTATCAGGAAGTGCGCTTTTGTAATCATCTCTTACCTTTTGGGTTCACTCGCATATGCATGTATGTACTTGGAAGTGCGTCAGTGCATATACTTTTTTGTCTGTGTGCTTTTGGAGCCGCTGGCGATATAACATGTTCCGGAGTTCACTACCTAAAGAGTTAAACCCTTGCCATATTTGAATCCATTACATCTTAATCCTGGTTTATATAGTAAAGGATATATTGCACCTCCAGTCCAGATCAAGTACAAAGCATGTGTCATGATTCAATAATCTGATGTCATTCTATCAGAAGGGACTTAGATTGTGATCTATCAAATCTAATTCTGCATTCGTATATGTGCATATAAGCAGGTGATCCACGGAAGACGCAACATCTTCTGGCACTTGAAGGGGCCAAGGAGAGACTCCATTTGTTTAAAGCAGAATTGCTCGAAGACGGTTCCTTTGACTCGATAGTCGATGGGTGCAGAGCTGTTTTTCATACAGCATCACCTGTGGTTTTCTCAGCTTCCGATCCCCAGGTGTCTGCATATTTCAGTTCATTTCACTTTGCACTGCAGATGCTTCTTGGGCGATTCGGTGAAATCGTACTGATGATCTCCTTCATATTGCAGGCTGAAATAGTGGATCCAGCAGTCAGAGGCACCTTAAATGTTCTCAAATCATGTGCAAAAGTCCCTTCTATCAAGCGAGTGGTCGTGACCTCCTCCATGGCTTCAGTAGTGTACAATGGAAAACCTCTGACCTCTGATGTGGTAGTTGATGAAACATGGTTCTCTGATCCGGTTTTCTGTGAGCAATCAAAGGTAAGATACTTTTCTTGATATTGTTAGCCTCTTTTGCTTGGTCCGTTGTTCATGATCTCGTTCATCGCAATGTTGTGGCTCTGCTATTTTCGGCTTTGGTATGTGCTCTCCAAAACCTTGGCGGAGAAGGCTGCTTGGGAATTTGCAAAAGAGAAGAGGATCGATCTGGTCATGATGAACCCAGGACATGTGATTGGCCATCTTTTGCAGCCTACTGCCAATCTCTCAGTGGAATTGATATTGAACTTTGTCAATGGTATTACTTAATGGTTTCTAGGTCACATGTACTATATTCCATGGAATGGTTCATTCTTCCACACATCATGTCAGCATTTGGCATCTCTTTAGGTTCTGAAATTGACCAGTGGAGAATTCATTCAACGTCATAATTGCATAATCACATGTAATCCATTTCCATGTGCAAGAAGAAACACAGTCGCACGAGGAAATTCATTTTCCTTTAAAAAATGGTGTCTGCAGTGGGAATAATCGAGGCATGTTTGATGTAGGAACTGAAGAATATCCCAATGCGTCCTACGGATTTGTTGATGTCCGAGATGTTGCACAAGCACATATTCAAGCTCTTGAAAACCCTTCAGCCAGCGGCAGATATTGTGTAGTTGGAGGAATAATGCACCGTCACAAGGCCTCGAAGATCTTGCGCCATCTTTATCCCACATTGCACCTCCCAGAAATGTAAGGTCCCATTTTTGTTTTAGTCCGTAGATTAAATCGTAACTTTTTTTTCTTATGAGCAAGTCGAGAAGTGGTCTTTTGTCGAGCATATACACTAACGTTAGCCGATGCTGCACGAATCATGCATTTTGAACACAGATGTGAAGACGACAAGCCTACTGTGCCAACTCATAAGATATCAAGGGAAAAAGTAGAAGGTTTGGGCGTGAATTTCACACCTCTGGAAGTTAGCCTAAGAGACACTGTCGAAAGCCTCAAGGAGAAAGGTTTCCTCTCTTTCTGAGCTTTTCCTTTGGAGGTCGGCCTAAACGACACCGTCGGGAACCTCAAGGGCGAAGGCGGAGCCTCTCTGTTTGAGCTTTTCTCGATCAACGACGCTGACCGCATAGTCATACTCGAAAGGTTTCACATAATGTATTGTATTTTTCTTCTAGTTACCGTCGTTGGGCCATGTATGGTGTCTCGTACACTTGTTGAATAGAGCTTTGCATCTCTAAACTTGAAAGATGATGCAACGCTGAATGTCTATCCTTTGAGTTCTATTGTCTTAGCTCATCTGCAGCGGTAAAAGTTCTCTTGAGTTAGGGTGAAGTAATATGTCTAGAAGCGGTCCAATGACCGCGGTGGCGTGGTGATTGTACGCGAATTTTGTTTATATTCAATAACAATATCGGGATAATTGAATGTACTGACATTGGAAGGATTTTATGGAAAAATCGAGCGAGTTAAAGAGCTCAATATATCCGAGAAAAAGTTTGAGGATCCGATTACAAAATAAGAGAAGCATAAATTAAGGGTTCAAATATGATTTATCCCAAATCAAGAATTAAATAAGTACAACCACTTGATTTTTTTTTCTGTTGACTGAAAATATAAAAGAAAATTCCAAATTGACATCTCAAAGCTTAAAATAAAGCTGCTTATGAGGAGTTGCAAGAGTTCCTCTTGAACTTGAGGGCGCGCCCCCAGGATATTGGAAAGCAATGCGAACCTTTGGGCTCAAAGAAATGGAAAAATCTGAACTTTTCAAAGAAAAGTCCAAACGGAAGTGTAAATTATCATTCAGAAAGGGGGTCGACTCGATCGGTACAGTAATGTCGCATGCGTAATGGCTTACGAGTTGCAAGAAGCCATCTGTCGTCAGTCAAACGCGACAAAAATGGGTTTGGATCGTGACCAATATTTGGTTTTTATAAGTCTATCTGCTCCACCTCCGAGTCTCCATTATTTGTTCACTCTCACCGGACCACACGGAGACGAGACCAGTGCGTGCGAACTCCACTGGTTCTGGTGCCAAGAACCAGAGAAGATGAGCAGTGCAGAGAAGGTAGTGGGCGTGACCGGAGGGTCGGGCTACATAGCTTCTTGGCTGATCAAGCTCTTGCTCCACCGTGGCTACACTGTTCGAGCCACAGTCCGAGACCCATGTAAAAAAAAAGTTCCCTTTCTTTACTCTCTGCTCTTTTAGCCTTCTTGGGCATTGTCAAGCTGTTGAAATTTGATAACTCGCATGAAGTTGTGTCGAAACCTTTTGTTAGTGTGAAACCATCATGTTATTGCTTTTCTCTGAGAGAAAGAAGAATTTTGGTAGCTTCGTTAGTGTTGTGTTGTAGATTGCCCTCTAATCTATATATCTGCCCAAGAAAGTTCAAATCTTTTTGCATCCTGTTCGACTTTGTTGGAGGAGCGGCACGCTTAAATCATCGTTTAGATTCCGGATTCTTGATTTACTATAATTCTCGTGTCGGTTTTGCATAAGTGAATCGAGGAAACTCTTCTTGTTCCACCTATGCCTTTCTGACTATAGATGCTACTAATGTGTCAGTGAGGGTGCTTGCAAGTTTTTGAATTTCAATCAGTTGAACAGAGATTTCTTATTCTTGTGCGTGTGCAACAGCCGACCCAAAGAAGACAGGACACCTTCTGGCACTCGAGGGGGCTAAGGAGAGGCTGCATTTAGTCAAAGCGGAATTGCTGGAAGAAGGGTCTTTTGACTCCGTAGTCGATGGATGCGAATGTGTTTTTCACACTGCATCCCCTGTTCTGCTCTCAGCTGCTGACCCCCAGGTGCTTCAATCTTGCCATGCCAATCATCTTTCATGATTTGTTATGTGTTTAAATTCCAACATTGTCCTTGCTTTCCTTAATAAGTAGATAGATCACGGACAAACGATTCCATTCCGTGTGGAAGGGGGTTTGCGTTTCTTCTGCCACGATGAGTTTAGTTTCGTTTTTCTGATACTTTTTATGAGAATTTTCTAAATGATTTCTTCTATTGCATAACTCAGGCTGAAATAATCGATCCTGCCCTAAAAGGCACCCTTAATGTTCTAAGATCGTGCGCCAAAGCCTCTTCTATCAAGAGAGTGGTTGTGACGTCCTCTATGGCTGCAGTTGCATTCAGTGCAAAAACTCTGACTTCGGGCGTTATCGTTGATGAGACTTGGTATTCAGATCCAGAATTTTGCGAGAAATCCAAGGTTCGTGTATCAAAATTTCCTGACAATATTGCTGTCCATTTCTTTCACCTGTGAAATTTTACTGTTAGAATTACATTCAAAGTTCCTGTTACACGGTGAAACTGGTAAAATGCTGATCCTGAGAGGAGTTGGGACATCAGGGAACATTTCTCTCTTAAATTACATAGCTTTCACTAGACACTTTTTACGGATGCCCGAACCAAGGAATGCCAGTCTCATCGCTGACAGTTGTTTGGGTTACTCTTACAATTTAGTCTGGCACAATGGTAGATGCTACATATGCTTGTTGAAGATAACAGTTTCTATATACTTCGATTCCCGGAGGAGAATTACTTATCTTTCGTTTCCTTTAATTGGTAATCTCCGAATGGCTTAGATGACATCGAATGAAGTCCCTGTCACGTCAATGGTTATTTTTTTTTTGGGTTGAACATGTCGATGATTATTATATGTGTTGAATGAGGCTAAAGATTCTAACAATCTAACTTTGATTTATCAATCTTCAGCTCTGGTATATGCTTTCAAAAACCTTAGCAGAGAAGGCGGCTTGGGAATTTGCCAAAGAGAATGGAATTGACCTTGTCACGATAAACCCGGGATATGTGATCGGCCCTTTCTTGCAGCCCACTGTTAATTTCACCGTGGAGACAATACTGAACTTCACTAATGGTATCATTATCATCTGGCCATAAATTATGTTTGTTATTAGATCTTTGCCATTTTATTTCAGAGTGACTCCGTCAAACATTGGTGCTTACTTGTTCTCATTACCCACAAGATAACCTCAAGGAGTTACGATAGAACTATCTTTCTGATTGAAGACGATATCAGTGAAGTTGTATGCCCTCAATCATACTTATTAGTTATGGCCACATGTGTCCCAAGGTGTATTTCTCCATTAGCCCGTGGAATAGCTATCCTTCTTTGCTTGTAAACTGAATTTGGCAACATGAGGTCCTGAGGCCCTTACATTCTATTTACTGAATCTGGCTTATGATGTGAAGCGTCTGCTTAATTGGCTGCACAGCACACTATTATAATCAGTTCTGGTAGATTTCCACATGGGACATAGTTTTAAACTACTGGCAGAAGCATCCAGTATAAAGTTGTCTCGACATTTGCATGGGTGTAATTGAGGCTTATCCTGCAGGAGCTCGAACATTTTCAAATACATGCTATAGATTTGTCGATGTCAGAGATGTGGCACTTGCACATATTCTAGCTTTTGAAAATCCTTCAGCTGGCGGAAGATATTGCATAGTAGGAGAAGTCGTACACTGTCATGATGCTCTACAGATATTGCGCAATCTCTACCCCACATTGCACCTCCCCGAGAAGTAAGTTATCATTCTTCCTTAATTCTTAACTTATCTTCTGTCAAACTACTGGGCATCCAAGAGATCACGGTTGTTTTGTGCAGATGCGAAGATGAGAAGCCTTTCTCGTCGAAGTATGAGGTATCAAGAAAGAAGGCAGAAGCTCTGGGTGTCAACTTCACTCCATTGGAGGTGAGTCTGAGAGATACCGTCGAATGCCTCAAGGAGAAGGGATTCATCTCTGTCTAGGCCGTTGCTCAAAACAGCATATCACAAGCTAATAATGACTTGTGGACCTGTGTGGTCTGTCCTCAGCTTTTTAGTTCCTCAATAATACAATTATTATGAAGAATGTATCATTACTTTCACAGATAACTTTCCCAGTTTTTCCCAGCTAATCTTGAAGTAATTATTGTTTACTTTCTTTGTGTAATTTGCCTGCCGAAACGACTCAGCATGGAGTACATCAGAAATAATCTTTTAGACTTTGTAAGCAATGTTGAAAACTTGTGAGATAATTTGAGTTAATGATTCGACCTAGCGGTTAATCCAAGAAGGCTCCTTTCTGGCCAACGTACTTGACTGCCATTATATGTAAAGCAAATTGGAAAATTGAAGGGTTCGCTATAACTTGGATATGAATATCAAAGGCTGATTCTGCCCATAACTTATATTACCAAAATAGTTGTGACTCATGATACTCTGAAATAACACAGCATTGAACAGTGTTTCTTAGCTTAACAAAACCTTAAGAATATAAGCCGGATTGTTAGTAGACAATGCATACTGGCTGCGACTGCCATCCTGATGCAAGAGAGCTTTACACGACCAAATTGCATCCAAACTTGCGGTACCTGATCATTGAGTGTGCACTTTATGTCTTCGGCCGTAATATGGGTTACCAAACAATCAATTCTTCACTTCTGATGAAAGCATTTGAGCTGCCATCTCATTTCGTTTGCATATGTAATGGGTCTGATAAGCCTTTGTATAACTCCATATGCATTACCCCATCCATAGCTTCAACCGAAGGGTTCATCAACGGTTATAACGCAGCGGAATATAGAACCCTAGACAGGATCCATGTGTATATTGAAATCGAGACAGAAGTTCAATACTTACCTTTTACATTCGAACGTAAATTGACAATTGATTGTGTCTAGATTAGCGTCCCAAGTGTTGCGCCTCTACCGGTATCCACACACGCGAACAGAAGTCTCCAACGATCCAAGTGCTAGCTAAAGATCTTGAAGTTTCTTTTCTTCAACGCCTTTTGATTTTCGATATTCTATCAAAAAAACCCTAGACAGAGAACGATTCTCTATCTATTTATACAGCCTCATTATCCAGCGGAATTAAAAGAAGTGGGCCAGGCGATTTGGGCCCGCCAAACCGTCCACCTTCAATCGTACATTTAATCGTTATCTTATAACGCACACGACCGCGTAGATAAGTTGAATAGGAGAATAAATTAAAATCTATTTCTTATTTTAAGTAGATCCCGGCGCACAGAAAATATTAACTCAGTTCGCTTTTGTGTGTGACCCTATAGGTTCACTAAACATTAGCAGTGTGCTCAAAACCCTTTTTGGCCCACAAGTCATAAGCGGTCTTTAGCAAGACATTATGACTACCTAAGTATAGTGAATGTCGATTTTTCGACACAACATAATCCACAACTAATACTAGAGTATCAACCTTGATTGATTCCTAGGGCAGACCACCAACATCAACACCTTATCTTTACCGCCAGAAGCTACTTTCTCACCATCCGGACTCCAATTGACCGCAAAAACATTCTCATGAGAACACATACTGAAATAAGTAGTCCATGATAGACACACAAACTTAAAACTTATATGATGACAATGTTAAGTGAACAAACCTCATCCGCATGACCTGGAAGATCTTGTTTCAACTTCTTTGTGCGAATATCCCAGATCTAAAAGTAAGCCAAACTTCGAGCGAACATTTAAGCATTCAAATCAGGCAAAAATTCATAATAATCATAACCAATAAAAGGAGTAGACTCCACATGCTATCGACTTTTACAAATAGTTCAATCAGAACCAAAACAAGTAAGAGTACATCACTCAAACTTCTTTACATACTATAGATCATTTCTAATATTATAAAGATCATACTCTGGTTTACAATATCCTCATCACCATATATCGCAAAAGAAGTAACCCTAACATGGTCCAATAGTTGACCACGATAGGAGTGATCAATGACTTGAGCAGGAACCAACACATGGTTCAAAAATAACTTTAAATAGGCCATTGAGATCTCAATGAAAACAAGTTGCACCAGAACAATAGCAAAAACCAAGTAAGAAAATAACCTAATTGCATGCATCATAAATAAAATGATTTCCTCCATAACACATTGATATTATTTTCACAGATAATATTACAAGCTCTCCTATTACAATACTAAGTGACCACACTTAATTTTCTTAAATGCCAGCACATGACGCAAGTTTATTTGGATACTAAATATATTTCTAACTACTTTATGGAAACCCTTCAAAAGCTATATGCTTTGTGCAACTAACCTTCAGAGTAGAGTCTTTGCTCCCGCTCAAAAGAAGTATACTATCTGCAGACCAACTGTGCATTATGTAAATCATGATTAGAGATCATTCTTGAGTGGATAAGACGAGCAACGTTTGAAAATATCTCAAACCTTATCTGATATACAGGCCCGACATGTCCCCTGAATGTAGCAACAAACTTCCCAGTAATACCATTCCACAACTTCACAGATTTATCAAACGAAGCACTAGCAACCCATTGTCCATCAGGTGAAAAATAGACATGATTCACGAGCTGCAAACAAAAAGCATAATTTCCCACATTTAATATGTCAAATTTTACACTTAAGACAGTTCAACGAGGATCTAACGTACTAGCCTCAAGAAAATATTAAGAGGATGTCTCATCTATTGAACCAGTGCCACCAGGACCACAATGTGGAGTGCATCCTTGTTTAGCATCATCGTGCCAATTGATAGTATATCATGGAAGACAGTCTTCTAAATACAGTTAAGACTTAGGGGAATCCAATCACATCATCATGCCAATTGATAGTATATCGTGGAAGACAGTCTTCTAAATACAATTAAGACTTAGGGAATCCAATCACAAAGGAAAAAGCAGGCAGCTGTGAAATCTCTCTCTCTCTCTCTCTCTCTCTCTCACACACACACACACACCTGTTGATGACCGGTCATTCGCGTTTTTGGGTGCTTGCTGGCTGAAGGTTCCCACAAAAACATGGTAAAATCATCAGATCCAGAGACCAATCTTTCAGGAGCATTGCCTTTCATTTTCTTGTACCTTTCTAGTGCAACCTATGTTTATCAACAAAATACAGAAGTTCATATAACAGTTACCAGAAAGTAGAACTAAAAATGTGCATAGACCTGAAGGGAGAGAATCGCCACAAGGGGAGAGAAGATGCACAGAGCAAAAAGACATTGAGCAAAATGTGCATACTAGGTTGTAAGCAAATAATGTGCAGATAGATATAACTGATGCATACTAGGTTGTATAAGCAAAATGTGCAAAGAGAAATAAATGTGTAATTTCTTGCCTCATGATATGAAGATGATTCAACATAATAAAAGTTACCTACTTGCTTCATTTCTTCAGAAGATGAATACTGTTTTCCAGTGTGATCGAAAGCTCCAGTCCGAAGAACATACTCAGTGCTCAGAGCAAGGGAGTTAACCCAGTGTCCATGACCCTACAACAAACATTTTATATATAAGGATGATCATAAAGAAAAGAACAGAGGGATCTAGCAGCAACTTAGATTAAGAATGTGGACTTGGAATAACAGCTTTTTTAGCAGTAGAAACCAAGAAAAGACATAACCACGTGAGCCATAAAAACTAAACTCCAACCTAAATAAGCAGTTCATATCTCGGCGACATAAAAAAATGGTGGTATTTCCATTCTTAACATCAACATCTCCTGAGAACTAAACAATGAAGAAGTTCAAGGACATGATATCACCAATAGCTGGGCTAGACAATATGCCCAATTAGTATTTGGTAGGTCACTAGGTGCCAAACTGCCTCCTCGCACCAAAGAGATCAAGTAAATCGTGCTACTCCAAAGGCACAAATAAATCTAAAGCTTTTGTGGAGAAGAATAAAACAGGCATGCAATGACCATGCAATCTGTATAACAAACTTTATAAAAGATGTTACCTTCAATTCCCTTATCAGCTTCCCCTGGGAAGTTTCCCAGACTTTGATTGTACAGTCCTGGGAGCTGCAAGAAATTTAAAATAATTACTTCATCAGGTAACAAGTAGTAGAAGCAGCAGCAGTTTGGCAAAGTCCAAGGATATTTATTTGCTTGGAAGAAGAATTTACATGTCACCACGTAATCTTAGGTCAATTAGAAGTATGATTTAGTCAAGAAAACTTCTTCATGTTGTTTTTTTTGTTGTTCATGTAGCACGGCACTATCATATGGACATTACTACATCACAAACTGATTAAATATTTATCTCAGGTTTAAGTTGCCTCTCTTGTGTCCCAACTTGTCAGTGGAACAGCTATTCAGGATTGGGAGAGAGAGTTAATGACAAAAATTTAAAACCATTAAGTAAAAGGCAGTTTCACCGACAATTGCCAAAATTAAGGAAGTTGCATACCTAGTATATATTACACCATCTCCTCCCCACTTTACGCACGTAACAGCTACAGTGTGACCGCTCCGACATATTACACATTTCCTTAGTGTTACGTCCCATATGCGGGCATCACCATCTTTACTAGAACTCACAAAGTGACGGCTCGGTGAACTCAGATGGACTGGTTCCCAAGATATACCGGTGATCCATTTCTTGTGGCCCTGACATAAAGCAGATTCAATGTCTTAGTGGCACAGAGACTATTCTTGCTATGCAAAAGCCACTTCAACACCTCACAAATTAATGTCAAAAACGGTAAAGGATGTCAGAAAGCTTCCTCAACAAAAATGGTACACCATTTATCTCTTCCCACAGATGCGAAGCTACACAATAAACTGTACTTACTACGCTAAACTTATGAATATCATCCAAATTAACGCCAACACTGCTCCCACTTATTTTGCCACAAGTATAAAATTAGAAGCGGCATATTTGTGCTTTTATCCACCATTTCATCATCAATATGGAGAGTTATAAACCAAGAAATATTAATAGGAAATGGAGTTCCATGGAATCCTTGCGGGAAGTATTCTCAAACATAGAAGTGTAACACCAAATGTCCAAAACTATTTAGTCTGAACAACTTTCCATAAAATAGATTTAGCACCAAGTTAAATAAAGTCTTAAAAGTAGCAAATTGCATTAAAAACCCCAAACTTTATCTTATGTCCCAAATCTACCCCAAATTTTTTTGGGAAAATTTCAATTAAGGGCCCCAAGTGGGGTCAAATTCTCAAAAGAGGGCCCAAAGTGAACATAGTGTCAAATAAGGGCCTAAAGTGTTCAATCAGTCTCAAATAAGGACTCGAAATGCCCAAAAAGTTTCAAATAAGGACCTGAGTCGCCGGCCGGCGAGAATGTTACTGTTTTGGCACCGGAACAGTAACTTTTTTATTATCTCTTCTTTTCTGTTTTTTTCCTTTTCCTTTTCTTTTTTTTTCTTCTCTTCCTCCGCCGGCCATAGCCGGGGCCGGCGGAGGTCGCCGGCCTCAGGCGAGGCCGCCCTTGTCGGCATCGGGCGAGGGTCGCCCTCGCCTGGGCTGGGCGAGGTCAGCCTCGCTAGTTGCCGGCGAGGTCGAGCCTCGCCAGATCTGGCGAGGGCTCGGCCCCATCGGTCGCTGGCGAGGCTCGACCTCGCCAGCGTCGGGCGAGGCCGGCCTCGCCTGCAACGGCAAGGCCGGCCTCGCCCGACGCCGGCGAGGTCGAGCCTCGCCAAGGCCGGCGTGGGCCGAGCCGTCGCCAGATCGCCCGACGCCGGCGAGGTCGAGCCTCGCCACATCCGACGAGGGCTCGACCTCGCCGGCGTCAGGTGAGGCCGGACTCGCCTGCAACGGCACGGCCGGCCTCACCCGACCTCGCCCAGCAACGATGAGGCTCGACCTCGCCGGCGTCGGGCGAGGCCGGCCTTGCCGTTGCGGGCGAGACCGGCCTCGCCCGACGCCGGCGAGGTCGACCTCGCCCGGCCCGGGCAAGGGCGGCCCTCGCCCAACGCCGGCGAGGGCGGCCTCGCCTGAGGCCAGCGACCTCCACCGGCCCCAGCTATGGCCAGCGGAGGAAGAGAAGAAAAAAAAAAGAAAAGGAAACGGAGAAGAAAAAAAACAGAAAAGGAAAAAATAATAAAAAAATTTAAAAAGTTACTGTTCCGATGCCGGAATACTAACATTCTTGCTGGTCGGCGGGCATTTTGGCCGGCCGGCGACCCAGGCCTTTATTTGAGGCTTTTTGGGCACTTCGGATCCTTATTTGAGACTGATTGAATACTTCAGGCCTTATTTAACACTATGTTCACTTTGGGCCCTCTTTTGAAAATTTGACCCCACTTGGGGCCCTTAATTAAAATTTTCCCAATTTTTTTCTATCTCATAAAAAGTCACCAACTTTCATTTTATACCTAAATCTATCCTCTATTATTTTTCCATCCAATTATACCCTTAGACTCTGATGTGTCATCTATTTGTCATTTTTTACACGTTAGTTTAGTTAAATTTTTTTTCTCCTTCCTTTTACCGCCGCCATGGACACTGTTCATCGTCTTCTTAGCATAGACATGCTCGGCCATAGTTCATCGGCGCTCACCCATCGCCACCCAGAACTCCGACGCCACACCACGACCTCCGACAACCCCTCCACGACTGTGGGCAGTCGTCAGAATCAACTCCGACAGTCTCAACCGAGACCCCTATTTTCGGTTCCAATTTTTCAAGCTTCAAGAAGGCATTTTTATTGGCCATTACCTTCGCTCAGTCATCCCCGCAGCTTTGTAGAATTATTTCATGCTCGGACGAAAACAGAACAAGCCCAAGCTCTTCTCTCTCTCACTCTGTGCTCTATGGTCGGCCTCCATTAATGGAGGTTGCCACCCGCGATTGAGGCACGCAACCTCACATTTGAGTTAATCTCTCCTCTTAAGCTCAACAAAATGGAACCAAGACTCAGTTTCGCACATGCCTTTGAGCTCTAACTCACATAATCACTTCAAAATCGAATCATTTTGGCCTCAAAGATCTTGAGGGAGACCTTGATTTCAACCATTTTCAGTCGTTAAAACTCTCGGAACTTGAACTTATTTTTGGTAAGTCTCACTAAAATGCATCAAGACCCATCATCACTATTTCAACCCGCGACGAGTCCTTAATTTCCAGAGCAAGAATAGCTAAAATGCCCTCCCTGTGATTCCATCGGTACCAAGTTCTGCTACTAAAATAGCTCCAACCTCTTTTAGTCGCGCCACTTTTGCAAGAGCTATTGTGCCTACAGGACTGCCGGCGGTGCCCTCTGCAACATCCCCGTCGAACGCAGCATCCCGAAGGCCATCGGTTGATGTCATGGCTAGGTTGATGGTGGTTTGTTATGACAAAAGTAAAAAGGATAAGAAGAAAGGAAAAAAATGAAAAAAAAAATTTATTTGGAAGATTAGAATGACGTGGAACTCACAAGTCAAATTCTAAGGGTATAACTGGACAAAAAATAACAGAGGGCAGATTTGGGAAGAAAGTAGAAGTTTGTGATTTTTTATGAGATAAAAAATAGTATGGGGTAGAATTGAGACATTACCTATAGTTTGGGGTTTTTAATGAAATTAGGCCGAGTTGGACTTTTCACCAAATTTTCCCTGTGAGATAGAGACCCAACTGCACATGGAAACTCATTTTCCTACCAAAGTGCACTTTGCTGTTGTGTTGTGACTACAAAGAGCATAATTTGAGGCTTATACAATGCAGGAGCTCGAACCTTTCCCAGCATCTCTTACAAATTTGTTGATGTCAGAGATGTGGCACATGCACATATTCTTGCTCTTGAAAATCCTTCAGCTTGCGGCAGATATTGTATGGTTGGAGAAGCCATACATTGTCATGGCGTTTTGGAGATCCTGCACAACTTTTATCCTACACTGCACATCCCTGAAAAGTAAGCCCCCACATTTCTTCAATGTCTAAAGAGAGGTACATTTTATGAGGATCCCTAGAAGAAGTCCTATCTACTGCACATCAACATTATTAATGGTGCATGATTCATTGTTAACGCAGATGTGAAAATGACGAACCATTCGAGTTGGCTCCTCGCGTGTCAAGGCAACAGATTGAAGGTCTGGGTGTGAAGTTCATTCCTTTGGAGGTCAGCCTAAGAGACACTGTGGAAAGCCTCAAGGAGAAAGGCTTCCTCTCTGTCTGAGCTTCCTGACAAGCGACAAGGAAAACCCTATACTTCACCGGCATATATACAGTTTCCATGAACTTATAGTCATAATAAGCTTCCGGTAAAATTTAATGCTTCCCTCTTATTAGACTCCATCGAAGCATGCATGATGTCTTATAGTCACTTGCTCAGTGTAAGTTTGCAGATTCTAAACTTGAAAGTTGATGAACATTGTCTGTTGAAGCAATTTTCTGCTTTTGCCAGTGATTTCTATTTCTAGCTTCATGTCCGCCTACTTTTAACAACCTGAGGTTTTGTATGTGAGTTGAGGTGAAGCTATGCCCCGTGTTTGTTCTGGGACAGAAAAGGCAACCTCTAACATGGATGATGGGGAATCCTGAGAACCATTCATGGTTAGACAAAAAGCCAAAAGAATCGCTGGGAAGGTGAGATGTCGATCATTCCCATGTTCTGTTTGAAAGGCTTTTCATTAATCTACTCCTACAACGGGTCAAATGATGAATGACTAATAATAGGGCCACTAATCTCCACACTAATTTCTGGTTGGTGCTCCACCATAATCGATCACAGTAAAGCTGCACTTTAGTTTCTTGCGTGGTGCACGATGATCAAATTTAATTTTTAAAGGCAATGACATGTGATTGGCCCTCCTGGAATAGTCCATATATTGATACTTTCCATCTCTATCCCTACTGGGCTTCTGGGAATAGCTCTTCTTCTTGCTTTAAAAATTATGCGAGTTTTGGTGATTGAGCTCTGATTGTGCTATAATGCTATGATAAATCCGTTCTTGCGGAACGAGAGAGTCTCTACATGCTATACTAAGTTGATTTATTTTTCAGATTTGAAGAATTTCCTTCTGACCAAAACAAAATTTGATGTTCATGTTTAAGGCAGATCAACTTCTAATGCATAAAATCGAGAAGACAACAAACAAATCAGGACTGATATTTTGAGCCCTTCCACCTTTGAATAAGTACACAAACTTTACATTTGATTGGGACTGAGAAAACAAAAAACAAAATAAAAATCTATGATCTCTAACAATGACTGATGATGACGCACGATGTGTGGTGCATAGTATGTGGGTCGTCCGAGTCATTTTCACTAATGTCCATAAGCCTCGCCTGTTAGTTTTGACTCCTTCAGAGTCCGAATCCGACTTCCTCTCGGATTCATCTGCACCAAAATCAAACGCCGCCTCGTGAGACTCCTCCCTCCATCTGTTGTCGTCCACCATTCATTACGATGTTTAACATTTTTGTTCTGCGGACCTAATTGTCCACGTTCTCGTTCAGATGGACAGTTGCCTGAAACCCGATCCTGACGAACGTGATGAGCCAAACGGGAGAAAATTAGAAGTTGGGTGTGTGTTAGTCTCCTCCTCCTCCTGTCAAATTTCCCCAACCCCCACCACCTTTTTTTTAATTCTTTCCTTTTCATTTTAATCAAGGCTTATACGATGCAGGAGCTGTTACATTTCCTAATATGCGTTGAGGATCTGTCGATGTCGGAGATGTTGCACATGCGCATATTCGAGCTCTTGAACACCCTTCAACTAGTGCCGGGTACTGCGTAGTAGGATAACTCCTACACGCTAGCGACGGTTTGAAGACCTTGCACAAGCTTTATCCAACATTGCACCTCCATGGTGAGTCCTCGCTTTATTTCAACTTCACAAGAAAGGAACATTTTCATTCTACCGTTGATTTATATAGATTGAATTCAGTGCAAAGGATTTAAAACCAAAAGATCGAGCGACTTGAAAGGACTGCTCAATTTCCAATCATCTTTACAAGAGGAAATGGAATGTCCTAATGCCAAACTGTTGCCCTGTGAGCCCACCTTTCAGAATGACGTGGCCACCAAGACGAACGGCGACGGCATTTGGTGATCTGCAGAATCGAAATTGTATGGTGCATATAATTCGAACGCATGTGTTCGTTTCTCTTATATGTTATGCTTACCCATTACGTTTTACTAGCCCGGAACTGTCAATTATATTGAAAGTTTGGCAAAGAACAAAAAAAGAACGGCATTAGAATGAAAATAGGGTCATCTCAAAGAAAAGTAACAATGAAAAATGCCGCGAACCTTGACTGACGGAGAACACCGTAAAGTTTAGGGAGCTGTAAAATAATTTTATAAAATTTAACAACTTTTAACTACTAATGGAATCCAAATCTAACATGGAGAATAGTAATTTGAACTTCCAACTCGGCCAAGAGACGAGTCAGTCACAACTCTCAAAGATGTTTGATAAAAATGTCGGAGCCTTTTACGTATATTATGTGTACTGTAGAACCTTGAATTGATGTATGATTGATCTAATATTTCCCGTTATTAGCAATTTTGTAATTTTACTATTGAATGCGAGATTTGAAAATGATAAAATCATTATTTCAAAATTTACGGGAAAAGTATCAAAAAGTCATAGACCATTGACATTTTGGGTTCCTCTAGTGCTAAAAATGCAGCAGAATCTATAAATCGAAACCCTAGACAGGATCCATGCGTATATTGAAATCTAAACAGAAGTTCGATATGTACCTTTTGCAGATCGAAGGTAAATTGACAATCGATTGTGTCTGGAATAGCAGCCCAAGTGTTGCGCCTCTACGGGTATCCACACACACGAACCGAAGTCTCCAACGATCCAAGTGCTAGCTAAAGATCTTGGACTTCTTTTTCCTGATCGCTTTTGATTTTCGAGACTCTCTCAAAGATATCTGAATAGAGAACGATTCTTTTCGTATTTTCTTGAAGGCGTTTTTTTCTTAGGGTTTTTTTTGTCACCCACACGCTATATATATATATATATATATATATATATATATATATATATATATATATATATATATATATATCCTCATTATCTACACGAATTAAAAAAAGTGGGGCCGGGCGATTTGGGCCCGCCAAACTGTCCACCTTCAGTCGTACGTTTAATCGTTATCTCATAACGTGCACGACCGCGTAGATAAGTTGAATAGAGAATAAATTAAAATCTACTTCTTATTGTAAGTAGATCCCGGCGCACAGAAAATATTAACTCAGTTCGCTATTATGTGGGACCCTGTAGGTTCACTAAATATTAGCAGTGTGCTCAAAACCTTTTTTGGCCTACAAGTCATAAGTGGTCTCTAGCAAGACATTATGACTACCTAAGTATAGTGAATGTCGATTTTCTAACACAACCTAATCCACAACTAATATTAGAGTATCAACCTTGATTGATTCCCAGGGCAGATCACTAACATGACATTGGTACCAATTTAGTCTTAAACCTTTTTTTTGTGCCAATTGAGTCCTAAACCTTGTGTTTTGCGCCAATTTAGTCCTTTTGGCTAATTTCGGCCGGATTTTGCTGACGTGGACACCACCAGTCGGCCACAAGAGCTGACGTGGATAACTTTTAGTAATATTTTAATATTTTTTTGAATTTTTATTTCTTTATTTCTTTTCTTTTTCTTTTATTTTCTTTTCCTCCCCTCCCTCTTCCTTCAGCCGGTTGTCGGACCGGCGACCGACCAGAGGCCGGCGAGCCACGTCGCAGTGACGGTGAAGGCGAACCTTGCCATGGCTGAGCGAGGCTTGACCTTGCCAGATCAAGCGAGGTCGGGTCTCGTCCGGCCTTCGCCAGAGGCCGCGAGGTTGCGCCCTTCGCCCTCGCAGCCTCTAGCGAGGGCCAGGCGAGCCTCGCTGATGGTTGGGCGAGGCCCGATCTCATCGGATTTGGCGAGGTCGAGGCTCGCCTGGCCCTCACTAGAAGCCGCGACCTTCGCCCTCACGGCCTCTGGCGAGGGCCAGGCGAGCCTCGCCGGCGGCTGGGCGAGGCACGACCTCACCAGATTTGGTGAGGTCAAGCCTCGCTCAGCCATGGCAAGGCTCCCCTTCGCCATCGCTGGCGAGGGTAAGCCTCTCCGATGGCCGATGTGGCTCACCAGAGGTTGGCGAGGTCTACTGGCCCCTGGCCAGTTGCCGGTCCGACGACCGACTGAAGGAAGAGGGAGGGGAGGGAAAGAAAAAGAAAAGAAAAGAAATAAAAATTCAAAAAACATTAAAATATTATTAAAAGTTATCCACGTCAACGAAATCCGATCAAAATTAGCCGGAATGACTAAATTGGCACAAAAACAAAAGGTTTAGGACTCAATTGGCACCAAAAAAAGATTTAGGATTAAATTAGCACAAATGCAAAAGGTTTAGAACTTTTCTAACACTTTTCCCCAAAATTTACTATTGGATGTGAGTGTGGTAAAATCATTATATTGTTTCTAAGTTACTAACGAATTGACAGGCGAGTTGCCAAATCGTATCGAAGAACAAGTGGTGGAATAGGGTGGCTGTTCAAAGTTTCCGCATCCATCTTTCTGATCGAAGAGCCAGGACAGAATTCCATGGTGTCACACGACCCTCGAATGGCACCAAAGCATAATGCAGCTGAGATGAACATGTAGATGCCTACTATGAACGTGTTTGGAAATATTTAGCCAATGTAGATAACGTCGTAGTGTGACATGGATAAATTTAGCCAATATAGATGTGGTGTAACATGGAAAAAATTTTATCCATGTCACACAGTGGCATTGTCCAATGGCCACGCCAGCTAGATTTTCTCATATTTGATGTCGGTGGGACTTGATTAAAAAAATTGGATAAGTAGAAGGACGTGATAAGACAAAGTAAATGTACATGGACTTGATTCGAAGAATTATGTAAGTACAGGAACGAAAAGTAGAGTTCGGCTACCACCGCTCGCAGCGGCAGCGTTGGCTTGTGCTCTTGTCCCCCCCACAAAGGGATCGGAGTTCGAACCCCAGCGTAGTCGTTAGGGATTCTTAAGTGTGGCGCCGTGGTGGTGGGTCCTGCGCTAGCGTTACCCCAGGTTTACCCCTCCGGCTGTCGGCCATGTGGGGGGTTCCTGGGTTATTAAAAAAAAAAAAAGAGTAGAGTTCGGCTTTTTTATTACAGTAGTTACCAACTCTTTCAAAAATACACCACCAAGGAAAAGATAAATTTTGTAACGGAAGTCACCCTCAGTTACGTTGCAACTGAAGGATAGATTCGAGTAATAAAGGACTTTACACATCCTTGGCCATGATGGATAAAATACTAAACAAAGATTAGATAGACTTATTATGATATGCATTAATATTGATAATCCAGGCACGAGCACGGAGCTCAACTATTTGGAAATCTAGTAAATACCCCTTAAGTCTCATGAAGAGGTAAATTCAGTCTTTAGTTTGAATATGGAACTCCGACCCACAATAGTTTACACGCAATTAATGGAAAGTTACATGGGCTATATCGAAACGAATATTTCCCGGAGCCGTGGCATCCCAAGACATTTCTTTGAGCCGTAGCCAATTCAGAAAAGTAAGTTGCCTTTGAGTCAGGCATGACACAAGTGATCAAATAGTTTGGCCAGTGCCCAACACTTGTGGTCAAGAGTAGGTGTTCATTCAAAGTTTCTCCATCTATCTTCTCCGATTGAAGGATTTAAGTCTGTCAGACATGTGATTCAAGTTGAATACTATCTAAAAGCAATCCTAGATGATTTTTTACCTTATATATATGTAGATTGCAATCGGTATATACCATCTAAAGGCACGGGAGAAGAAGATTCAGCTCCAAGGATAGCAGGGAAGAGAGGGAAAATGAGCACAACGGAGAAGGTGGTTTGTGTAACTGGAGGGGCCGGTTACGTAGCATCCTGGCTCATCAAGTTGTTGCTTCAGAGTGGCTATACAATCAAAGCGACTGTGCGCGACACCAGTAAGTTCATAGTTTTATCTTCGAGTTTTGTTCTTGACAATTTTTTGGTTTTAGTTTAATCATTCTAATGCAAGGACTTCGTACCAAATTCCGCTTTTAGCAGGAAGTGCGCTTTTGTAATCATCTCTTACCTTTTGGGTCCACTCGCATATGCATGTATGTACTTGGAAGTGCGTCAGTGCATATACTTTTTTGTCTGTGTGCTTTTGGAGCCGCTGGCGATATAACGTTCCGGAGTTCACTACCTAAAGAGTTAAACCCTCGTCATATTTGAATCCATTACTTCTTAATCCTGGTTTATATAGTAAAGGATATATTGCACCTCCAGTCCAGATCAAGTACAAAGCATGTGTCATGATTCAATAATCTGATGTCATTCTATCAGAAGGGACTTAGATTGTGATCTATCAAATCTAATTCTGCATTCGTATATGTGCATATAAGCAGGTGATCCACGGAAGACGCAACATCTTCTGGCACTTGAAGGGGCCAAGGAGAGACTCCATTTGTTTAAAGCAGAATTGCTCGAAGACGGATCCTTTGACTCGATAGTCGATGGGTGCAGAGCTGTTTTTCATACAGCATCACCTGTGGTTTTCTCAGCTTCCGATCCCCAGGTGTCTGCACATTTCAGTTCATTTCACTTTGCACAGCAGATGCTTCTTGGGCGATTCGGTGAAATCGTACTGATGATCTCCTTCATATTGCAGGCTGAAATAGTGGATCCAGCAGTCAGAGGCACCTTAAATGTTCTCAAATCATGTGCAAAAGTCCCTTCTATCAAGCGAGTGGTCGTGACCTCCTCCATGGCTTCAGTAGTGTACAATGGAAAACCTCTGACCTCTGATGTGGTAGTTGATGAAACATGGTTCTCTGATCCGGTTTTCTGTGAGCAATCAAAGGTAAGATACTTTTCTTGATATTGTTAGCCTCTTTTGCTTGGTCCGTTGTTCATGATCTCGTTCATCGCATTGTTGTGGCTCTGCTATTTTCAGCTTTGGTATGTGCTCTCCAAAACCTTGGCGGAGAAGGCTGCTTGGGAATTTGCAAAAGAGAAGAGGATCGACCTGGTCATGATGAACCCAGGACATGTGATTGGCCCTCTTTTGCAGCCTACTGCCAATCTCTCAGTGGAATTGATATTGAACTTTGTCAATGGTATTACTTAATGGTTTCTAGGTCACATGTACTATATTCCATGAAGTGGTTCATTCTTCCACACATCATGTCAGCATTTGGCATCTCTTTAGGTTCTGAAATTGACCAGTGGAGGATTCATTCAACGTCATAATTGCATAATCACATGTAATCCATTTCCATGCGCAAGAAGAAACACAGTCGCACGAGGAGATTGATTTTCCTTTAAAAAATGGTGTCTGCAGTGGGAATAATCGAGGCATGTTTGATGTAGGAACTGAAGAATATCCCAATGCGTCCTACGGATTTGTTGATGTCCGAGACGTTGCACAAGCACATATTCAAGCTCTTGAAAACCCTTCAGCTAGCGGCAGATACTGTGTAGTTGGAGGAATAATGCACCGTCACGATGCCTCGAAGATCTTGCGCCATCTTTATCCCACATTGCACCTCCCAGAAATGTAAGGTCCCATTTTTGTTTAAGTCCGTAGATTAAATCGTAACTTTTTTTTCTTATGAGCAAATCGAGAAGTGGTCTTTTGTCGAGCATATACACTAACGTTAGCCGATGCTGCACGAATCATGCATTTTGAACACAGATGTGAAGACGACAAGCCTGCTGTGCCGACTCATAGGATATCAAGGGAAAAAGTAAAAGGTTTGGGCGTGAATTTCACACCTCTGGAAGTTAGCCTAAGAGACACTGTCGAAAGCCTCAAGGAGAAAGGTTTCCTCTCATTTTGAGCTTTTCCATTGGAGGTTGGCCTAAGCGACACCGTCGGGAACCTCAAGGGCGAAGGCGGAGCCTCTCTGTTTGAGCTTTTCTCGATCAACGACGCTGACCACATAGTCATACTCGAAAGGTTTCACATAATGTACTGTATTTTTCTTCTAGTTACCGTCGTTGGGCCATGTATGGTGTCTCGTACACTTGTTGAATAGAGCTTTGCATCTCTAAACTTGAAAGATGATGCAACGCTGAATGTCTATCCTTTGAGTTCTATTGTCTTAGCTCATCTGCAGCGGTAAAAGTTCTCTTGAGTTAGGGTGAAGTAATATGTCTAGAAGCGGTCCAATGACCGCGGTGGCGTGGTGATTGTACGCGAATTTTGTTTATATTCAATAACAATATCGGGATAATTGAGTGTACTGACATTGAAAGGATTTTATGGAAAAATCGAGCGAGTTAAAGGGCTCAATATATCCGAGAAAAAGTTTGAGGATCCGATTACAAAATAAGAGAAGCATAAATTAAGGGTTCAAATATGATTTATCCCAAATCAAGAATTAAATAAGTACAACCACTTGATTTTTTTTTTCTGTTGACTGAAAATATAAAAGAAAATTCCAAATTGACATCTCAAAGCTTAAAATAAAGCTGCTTATGAGGCGTTGCAAGAGTTCCTCGTGAACTTGAGGGCACGCCCCCCAGGATATTGGAAAGCAATACGAACCTTTGGGCTCAAAGAAATGGAAAAATCTGAACTTTTCAAAGAAAAGTACAAACGGAAGTGTAAATTATCATTCAGAAAGGGAGTCGACTCGATCGGTACAGTAATGTCGCATGCGTAATGGCTTACGAGTTGCAAGAAGCCATCTGTTGTCAGCCAAAAGCGACAAAAATGGGTTTGGATCGTGACCAATATTTGGTTTTTATAAGTCTATCTGCTCCACCTCCGAGTCTCCATTATTTGTTCACTCTCTCACCGAAGCACACGGAGACAAGACCAGTGCGTGCGAACTCCACTGGTTCTAGTGCCAAGAACCAGAGAAGATGAGCAGTGCGGAGAAGGTAGTGGGCGTGACCGGAGGGTCGGGCTACATAGCTTCTTGGCTGATCAAGCTCTTGCTCCACCGTGGCTACATTGTTCGAGCCACCGTCCGAGACCCATGTAAAAAAAAAGTTCCCTTTCTTTACTCTCTGCTCTTTTAGCCTTCTTGGGCATTGTCGAGCTGTTGGAAGGAACAAAAAGAAAGAGCTGTTGAAATTTGATAACTCCCATGAAGTTGTGTCGAAACCCTTTTGTTAGTGTGAAACCATCATGTTATTGCTTTTCTCTGAGAGAAAGAAGAATTTTGGTAGCTTCGTTAGTGTTGTGTTGTAGATTGCCCTCTAATCTATATATCTGCCCAAGAAAGTTCAAATCTTTTTGCATCCTGTTCGACTTTGTTGGAGGAGCGGCACGCTTAAACCATCGTTTAGATTCCGCATTCTTGATTTACTATAATTCTTGTGTCGGTTTTCATAAGTGAATCGTCGAAACTCTTCTTGTTCCACTTATGCCTTTCTGACTATAGATGCTACTAATGTGTCAGTGAGGGTGCTTGCAAGTTTTTGAATTTTAATCAGTTGAACAGAGATTTCTTATTCTTGTGCGTGTGCAACAGCCGACCCAAAGAAGACAGGACACCTTCTGGCACTCGAGGGGGCTAAGGAGAGGCTGCATTTAGTCAAAGCGGAATTGCTGGAAGAAGGGTCTTTTGACTCCGTAGTCGATGGATGCGAATGTGTTTTTCACACTGCATCCCCTGTTTTGCTCTCATCTGCTGACCCCCAGGTGCTTCAATCTTGCCATGCCAATCATCTTTCATGATTTGTTATGTGTTTAAATTCCAACATTGTCCTTGCTTTCCTTAATAAGTAGATAGATCATGGACAAACGATTCCATTCCGTGTGGAAGGGGGTTTGCGTTTCTTCTGCCACGATGAGTTTAGTTTCATTTTTCTGATACTTTTTATGAGAATTTTTCTAAATGATTTCTTCTATTGCATAACTCAGGCTGAAATAATTGATCCTGCCCTAAAAGGCACCCTTAATGTTCTAAGATCGTGCGCCAAAGCCTCTTCTATCAAGAGAGTGGTTGTGACGTCCTCTATGGCTGCAGTTGCATTCAGTGCAAAAACTCTGACTTCAGCCATTGTCATTGATGAGACTTGGTATTCAGATCCAGAATTTTGCGAGAAATCCAAGGTTCCTGTATCAACATTTCCTGACAATATTGCTGTCCATTTCTTTCACCTGTGAAATTTTACTGTTGAGTTACATTCAGAGTTCCTGTTACCCGGTGAAACTGGTAAAATGCCGATTCTGAGAGAAGTTGGGACATCAGGGAAGATTTCTCTCTTAAACCACATAGCTTTCAATAGACACTTTTTACAGATGCCCGAACCAAGGAGTGCCAGTCTTATCACTGACGGTTGTTTGTGTTACTCTTGCAATTTTTTCTGGCACCATGGTAGATGCTACATATGCTTAACGAATATAACAGTTTCTATATACTTCGATTCCTGGAGGAGAATTACTTATCTTTCGTTTCCTTTAATTGGTAATCTCCGAATGCCTTGGATGACATCGAATGAAGTCCATGTCATGTCAATGGTTATTATATGAGTTGAATGAGGCTAAAGATTCTAACAATCTAACTTTGGTTTATCTATCTTCAGCTTTGGTATATGCTTTCAAAAACCTTAGCAGAGAAGGCAGCTTGGGAATTCGCCAAAGAGAATGGAATTGACCTTGTCACGATAAACCCAGGATTTGTGATTGGCCCTTTCTTGCAGCCCACTGTTAATCTCACTGTGGCAGCAATACTGAACTTCGTTAATGGTATCACTATCATCTAGCAATAAATTATATTTGTTATTAGATCTTTGCCATTTTATTACAGAGTGACTTCGTCAAACATTTGTGCATACTTTGTTCTCATTACCCACAAGACAATCTCAAGGAGTAACTATAGAACTGTCTTTCCGATTGAAGACGATCTCAGTGAAGTTGTATGCCCTTCTCAATCATACTTATGAGTTATGGCCACATGTGTCTCAAGGTGTCTTTCTGCATTAGTCCGTGGAATAGCTATCCTTCTTTGCTAGTAAACTGAATTTGGCAACATGAGGTCCTGAGGCCCTTGCATTCTTTTTACTGAATCTGGCTTATGATATGAAGGGTCTGCTTAATTGGCTGCACAGGCACAGTATTACAATCATTTATGGTAGATCTCCACATTAGACATAGTTTTCAACTACTGGCAGAAGCGTCCAGTATAAAGTTGTCTTGACGTTTGCATGGGTGTAATTGAGGCTTATCCTGCAGGAGCTCAAACATTTCCAAATACATGCTATAGATTTGTCGATGTCAGAGACGTGGCACTCGCACATATTCTAGCTTTTGAAAATCCTTCAGCTGGCGGAAGATATTGCATAGTAGGAGAAGTTGTACACTGTCATGATGCTCTACAGATTTTACGCAATCTCTACCCCACATTTCACCTCCCTGAGAAGTAAGTTATCATTCTTCCTTAATTCTCAACTTATCTTCTGTCAAACTACTGCACATCCAAGAGATCACGGTTGTTCCCTAACGGTGCAGATGCGAAGATGAGAAGCCTTTCTCGTCGAAGTATGAGATATCAAGACAGAAGGCAGAAGCTCTGGGTGTCAACTTCACTCCATTGGAGGTGAGTCTGAGAGAGACCGTCAAATGCCTCAAGGAGAAGGGATTCATCGCTGTCTAGGCCGTTGCTTAAAGCAGCATATCACAAGCTTGCTGATAATGATTGTGGACCTGTGGTCTGTCCTCAGCTTGTTAGCTCCTAAACTATGCAATTATTCTGAATAATGTATCATTATCCACTTTCACAGATGACTTTGCCAGTTTTCCCAGCTAATCTTTAAGTGATTAATTTTTACTTTCTTTGTGTGATTTGCCTGCCGAAAAGACTCATCATATAGTACATCAGAAATAATCTTTTAGACTTTGTAAGCAATGTTGAAAACTTGTGAGATAATTTGAGTTAATGACTCGAGCTAGCTGTTAATCCAAGAAGGCTCCTTTCTGGCCAACGTACTTGACTGCCATTATGTGTAAAGCAAATAGGAAAATTGAAGGGCTCGCTATAACTTGGATATGAATATCAAAGATTGATTCTGCCCATAACTTATATGACCAAAATAGTTGTGACTCATGATACTCTGAATTAACAAAACATTAAACAGTGTTTCTTAGCTTAACAAAACCTTGAGAATATAAACTGGATCATAAGTAGACAATGCGTGCTGGCTGCGACTGCCATCCTGATGCCAGAGAGCTTTACATGAACAAATTGCATCCAAACTTGCGGTACCTGATAATTGAGCGTGCACTTTGTGTCTTCGGCCGTTTTATGGGTTACCAAACAATCAATTCTTCAGTTCTGATGAAAGCATTTGAACTGCCATCTCATTTCATTTGCATATGTAAAGCGTCTGATAAGCCTTTGTATAACTCCATATGCATTACCCCATCCATAGCTTCAACACCTTATCTTTGCCGCCAGAAGCTACTTTCTCACCATCCGGACTCCAATCGACCGCAAAAACCTTCTCATGAGAACACGAACTAAAATAAGTAGTCCATGATAGACATACAAACTTAAAACTTATATGATGACAATGTTAAGTGAGCAAACCTCATCCGCATGACCTGGAAGATCTTGTTTCAACTTCTTTGTGCGAATATCCCAGATCTAAAAGTAAGCCAAACATCGAGCGAACATTTAAGCATTCAAATCAGGCAAAAATTCATAATAATCATAACCAATAAAAGGAGTAGACTCCACATGCTATCGACTTTCACAAATAGTTCAAACAGAACCAAAACAAGTAAGAGTACAACACTCAAACTTCCGTACATACTATAGATCATTTCTAATCTTATAAAGATCGTACTCTGGTTTACAATACATCACCATATCTCACAAAAGAAGTAACCCTAACATGGTCCAAAAGTTGACCACGATAGGACTGATCAATGACTTGAGCAGGAACCAACACATGGTTCAAAAAATAACTTTAAATAGGCCATTGAGATCTCAATGAAAACAAGTTGCACCAGAACAACTGCAAAAACCAAGTAAGAAAATAACCTAATTGCTTGCATCATAAATAAAATGATTTCCTCCATAACACATTGATATTATTTTCACAGATAATATTACAAGCTCTTCTGTTATAATACTAAGTGACCACACTTAATTTTCTTAAATGCCAGCACATGACGCAAGTTTATTTGGATACTAAATATATTTCTAACTACTTTATGGAAACCCTTCAAAAGCTATATGCTTTGTGCAACTAACCTTCAGAGTAGAGTCTTTGCTCC